CTCTGTAAACAAGAGAGTTGATAACCGATGATTTTTGGACCGGATGGTGATGTGACCATGCATTAAGGTATCGGTCTGTATGCGTAGGTTTTCTGTAAACACAATAACCTAATGTTAGGTCTGATTTTCTATTGATAAGAATATCTAAGAATGGAAGCTTATTATTAGTTTCTAGTGTCGAGAGTTTCAGGAATAGGAACTTTGGTAAAAAGGGATTCTACGGCGAAACTAACTAGAATATCTTGAGTATCTAATGTAATTCTTTTTAATTGTTCCATGAAGTGAAAGGAATTAAGTACGAAACTGTCAGCTTTCACTGCAAGGAAGCTAGATATTTTGCTAGAGAATATGTTGGAGAATCAATGGTGCTGACAATAGGTCACAGGGGTAATCCTGGTTTGTAAATCTTTGGGAGTCCGTAGAGACGAGTGAGTTACAAAACTATCAAAGTTTTTATAATAAAGTTTTAAAAAACCTAACCCCAAAGGTTTTATAGATAAAATGACGCAAACTTCTTGGATGCTAATTTATAAAACTTAAAGAGTTTTGGTATTTATTCGACCTACAAAACAACTAACACCACCTGTTAACAAAACTGTTATAAAAGCATAGTTTCTTTTTGAAATCCTTATAAACATCCGTTATTTCACGCATTTTAATAACTGTATAAACATACCAACCTGCGCATATTTTAAAAAAATACTGCCGTAAAAAAAATTTGAAATAACAGTGAGTATTATTTAAAAAATATATATTATATATATATATATATATAGACATATGAAAGAAACAATCCATTTACATATGTACCCAAAAACGCCCACGTATTTGTTCAACACTGCGATTTTATATAAAAACTTCACCTATCATAAACTTTCGAAATTCCCCCGTAAAAACCACAAAAAGAACATCGGTCTACAGATACGGATCCCATGCATAATGCATGGCGTGGGACTCCGGCAGTTGGTGACACATCCGAACAGCAAACAACGTCTTACTATAGAATTCTAATTTTCCGACATTTAATCCTATTAGTGTTATCGAGCATAAGTGTAAAAAGGATTATCTGTGGGAATATCGGAACCCCAACAACGCATAAGGCAACAAATTGGATCTTCATGCCAATGAAATTGTGTTCATAATTTTGGAAACTGGTTATCTAATTTAGATGTCTTTGTGCTGACATACATCCAGCGAATATTAGAAACCGCGTTGCTGCACAATTATGAATAATTATTTTTAAAACTTCATTATATTGTTAATGTTTATATAAAACAGTGTAATTGCAAACAGTGCATATTGTAATAACTTACTTGGTGATAACTAGGTGCATTGCATCAAAGTGAACTAAACATTTGAACTAAATATTTGAACTAACTAAATATCTTTTTAAGTTTCAGTTATCCTTCACGAGTAATATTCGCAGCTGGGATTGACCTGCAAGCTCTTGGCAAAGTGTCCAAGCTGATTAATCAATAGTTGTGTTATGTATGAAACCCCATTTTCCGAAAATAAATGTCTTTTTCAAAGGAAGTTTACAATTCTTTGCAACAGCATCCACCAATTTACATATTTCGTCTATGCTACCAATGTATGAAATTAAATTTTAATGACGTAATTTGGACATTCTACCAGAAACAATTTCTTTTATTTGAGCTTCATTACAATTATATACAGGGTGGCCTGTTTAAGAGGGGCCTATACCTTATCTCAAAACCTGCGGGGGTTACAAAAAAAAATAAATACAAAAGTTGTTTCTATTAAAATGACCTTCTTTTTTTATTTTCCTAATCGTCACCCTTTTATATACAGGGTGCTAAAACAAAGTTAAATTTTTTTAAATGGAACACCTTATATTTTATTGCATTTATGGACAGTCTTTTTAAATGCAAATTCAACGATATATATGAGCATCGGTTTGTGATGTACCGTTTCGAACTTATTAGCGATCATCTTCAAAATTCGGGTTATGTTTAAACCATCACTGTTGGGTTGCTTATTAATTTCTTAAACTTTATTCCATCTCTTATTTTTACGAAAATAATGATGTCATTTAGTCAATGGTCAAATCTAAAATGTTTTCTTAAAATAAGCAGTGTTGCCACGTTTCGCAAAATGATACTTTCTCCATTTTCTTAAATTAGACACCCTATATATTATTGGATTTTCGAATAGCCACTTTAATAGCAACTCCAATAACATAGTACGGATCTCTGACTTACCATTTTGGCTTAATTAGCTAGGTATAAGATTTAAATTATTAAGATATGAAACTCGGAATTAGCTCCTTATTAACTTGTTCGCAACCGTTTTAGAGTACTGTCTTTGCACAATGTTGCCAAATTTCGCAAATTACATATTTCCAAGTTTACATGTCTACGGGAAATTAAAAATTAATACTAACTACTAATGCATATTACTTGCAGGTAAAATTAATTGAATTAGTTTTTCAATATATCCGCCGTTTTGAAGAATACAAGTAGTATATACTATTTCTAAATGGTATATGGTGTTTGAGACGTAATTCGTTTCATTCACATAGTGTATTGCCGCGCAACGAAGTCACTGCACTTCCAAAACTGTTAACGGTTTATCTTTGTAAACCATATCTTTCAATGTGCCCCACAAAAAAAAGTCCATCGTGGTCAAATCTGGACTTCTCGCTGGCCAGGAGATGGTTTCGTTTTACCAATCCACTCTGAAATTTTCGTTTAAAAAACGAATGAGTGCAGCACTTTGATGGTAAAGTGTGCCATCTTGCTGCCAAATTAAATTCGGATGGTATCTTTGGAAAATATTATTATATGTAAGTAGCCGAATTTCGTTCCTTAATAAGTTTAAATATCCTACGGATGTTAAATTTTGTTGGTAAAATATGGGTCCTAAAATTCGAGATCTCCAGATTGCGCATCATACTTCCACGGATCTTCGCCCCTGCTTGTTTACTTCAAAAACACATTTTTATTTTCTGAACTCCAATAATAATCATTATATTGCAAAATTCGAGTCTTAAGTTAAAATCTGCTTCTTTGTACTGGTGTAAATGCAACTGTTAATTTTGTTTGAAGTGTGGTTTGTCTTACGTCCACATCTAAAGCGGCAAGGCGGGTGGAGGTCGCTGGAGTATTTTGGAAATGCAGAAGAATATCTAGCTGCATATTTTCATCCAAAACCGTTCGGTTCCTACTTTTTTTCACTAAAACGCTCGTTCGAAACTGCTGGTATATTTTGCCAATTTTACTTTTCCTGGCAATCGCTTATGGGGAAATTTGGCCCTATATTGTCTGAGAGCAAGAGCTGGACTTTTGTTATTGGCGATAGGCTAATAGGTCAACTTTTTCCTCCTTCGTACACATAATACAAAAATGCAACTTAATAAAATAAATAGGGAATAGTGGAAGTCCGAAAAAATACACTTAAAATATTATAATACACTGATACCTGTCAAAAAATCAGTAATATTAACACAACAGAAAACTACTATTGTTTTCAAAGCGATGATTATGTCAAAAAGGTCAAAAGGTCAATTTTGTGTTTGTGTCTTTTAACAGGCAGGTTTCTCTATATTTCTGAAAGACGTGGTCCATATTATTAAGAATATGAATATTTTTTAAAAGTTTTTTCCATTTAAGGCCTTGTTTACAAGGTTCTTAAATTATGAAGCTAAAAGAATTTATGTATTATTGGAAAATAATTGCCAATTAAGATAAAACGGTAAGTCAGAGACGTACTATGTTATAAATTTGAAATTGCTATTAAAGTAGCTATTCGAAAATCCAATAATACACATGGTGTCTCATTTAAGAAAATTGAGAAAAGTGTCATTTTGTGAAACGTGGCAACACCGCGTATTTTTATTATATTTAAAATGTTATCATTGCCTAAAGAAAAGCATTATTTTCGTAAAAATAATAGATGGAAAAAAGTTTAAAAAGCTAATAAGCAACCCAACAATGATTGTTTAAACATAACCCGAATTCTGAAGATGATCGCTAATAAGTTCGAAACGGAACCAAAATTTGTCTTTGCAAGGACTATCCAAAATGCAATAAAATGTAGGGTATTCTATTTTTTAAAAATGTAATTTTGTTTTAACACCCTGTATATAAAATAGTGACGATTAAGAAAAAAAAAATGAGGTCATTTTAACCCCTTGTAACCCCCTTAGGTCCCGAGATAAGGAATACGCCCCTCTTAAACGGGCCACCCTGTGCTTAGTTAATCTTTAGCTGATGAACTAGATGTTTACTAATGAGATTTTATTTTGACTTTGCATCAATGATCCTTTTTTGGTTGAGATTAAGGTCAAGTTTTTGGCATGAAATGTAGATGCAGTTGATAAGTAACCAACGACTATCTATTAGAGATCTAGAGGCCTTGCTTATACCGATAATACAAGACGAGGTGGGGAACTTGTGGAGCAACTATGAAAAAAATTTTGAGAAGGTCCATTCAACAAATCTTGTTTTTCATCAATGGCCTTATGGCCGCTGACAGATTGTGCATAAGTTTGGATACAACATTTTTACGGCAATATTTTTTTAAAATATGAATAGATCTCGTTAAATCTTCTGGGAAAAAGGAATCCAGTATGTGCAGAAAGATAATGGCGCAATGTGCAGGTTAGTGGGTGAAATATAAAAGTATGATACGAAAATATCAATGCTGCCTGCGGCACTTCAATTTTTAGTGTAGTAGCTAACAGCTATGTAGTAACCAACAAACATTAATCTTCGATGGAATTTGGCAATGGCCGAATTACTTTAGTAACCTGACTTCACATTTACTAGCATCGCATTGCCAACTGTTCTTTGGCTGCACAGAATATGGGCAATATAAATTTCTAAACTTGCATGAATCTTAATCATTTTTATTGCAATGTGCTTTTATTTAGACACTATGTTAGTCATTACCACAGTATAGCGAAGAAATGTTAATTAATGATTGATTAACCCTTGTAAAGAAGTGAAAATATAACATGTGTGATTCTATACAAATAAAATTATTCTATGCATACTGTGACTTGCTTGTATTATTGTAAAAGTCATTCGCTATAATACAACTTATATTAATAAGCTTTTGTATTAATGTTAATTGGTCTCATTTTTGAAACCTAAAATTATGAATGACCATGACAATATTCGGGAACATGTTCTCAAACTGATGAAGCAGAAGGAAAATATAGAAAATGAAATCCGGGAACTTAGTTCTCTTTTATCTAAAGTATGTAAGATTTATCATATAGAAACAAAGATACCTTTTTTTACAGATACTTTTTTAGAATGGTGTTGGCATGAATGATCCACTTGTAGATGAGGAGGGCTTTCCAGTAAATTCGATTGACATATATCAAGTAAGACATGCGAGACACAGGATAATATGTACGCCCAAACAAGAACTCTGGTTAAAAGTGCATAACTATTATTTAATTATAGGTCTGCAGAACGATCATAAAAATATCATGGCACAAATAGAAAATGGTTTACATGATTACTACTCAATTTTTTCCGATAATGATGTCCACGAATCACCAATGAATACAAGCAGCTGCCACACAGATGTAATTCATGTGGTTCCATTTGCACGAGTTACCTTAGTAAGTGAAGAATCACCTTCAAAGGATGCAGTATGTATCTCTATATCTGAATTAATAAAAAACATGCTATTAAATTTTTATTTTAGGGCATACAAGCAAATGATGAAATTGTAGAGTTTGGGTCAGTCAATTCCACAAATTTCAAAGACATTACTGATATTGCTTTGGTAGTACAACATTCAGAAGGAAATCAAATATCAGTAAAATTGAAAAGAGGTGACCATTTTCGTACAGTTGTACTGGTACCTAAGAAGTGGTCTGGAAAAGGACTTTTGGGCTGTAACATTGTTGCCTTGTAAATGTTTCTATTTGGTTATTATTATTTAATCATTATTTTACCCCTTTGACTTGTTTAAATATATGTATTTTTTTTATTTGTTTCCATTTCATTTCCAAGAACAAACAAAATTGCTTCTCACATATCCACTTAATTTATTCAGAATATTCATAGCATTTTCACTTAGGCCTTTTCGTGATTAAGTTTAAGTTTTTACCATTTTAGCAGCAAATACTAAGACTAGGCAGGACCTAAATATATTCACAGAAGTATAATTACAATTTCTTTCAAAGACCCAGTTGGGGCATCCTGATTTGCTTTATAGTATTAGAGGTAAGTACTAAAATTTGACTCAGTTCCTAAAATGGTTGATGACCCATATCACTCCTGATACATCTAATTTAATTTTACAAATGTTTAGCTAACTACCATTTTGTCCCCTAGAAAGGTCAGTCTTCATCCTTTTTAATAATGATGGCATGAAATCTATTTGTTTATCGACACACTTTGTAGCGCAGTCTTCAAATATCTTGGTGAATTTTTCAACCTAAAAATGTTATATTAAATATAATTAAAATAAGATATTTTGTTATGCTTTCACTGTCATTGTAACTTGAAAGATGTTGGTGTTTTGGGTTTTTCACAAAAGTCATAAGCGTCACTACATGAAATATATTTTGCAACTTGATTATCCAACATGAAATATTTAAGAAAAAGTGCTCATTTTTCACCAGTATTAATTAATTTGGTATCAGTATGGGCTTCAAATTTAATAATTTAAATTAATTAAAAAAAAAATAAAATGAACAAAACAAAGTTTTTCCTTTAATGTAACAACAATACCACTGAAAGCTGCTGTGCTAACAATAAACAACAATTTTACCTTATAATTGTGAACCTAAATTTAGCTTTCTATGATTGAGTTTTTTCACAGGTATTCTTTTACTTTGAAAATTTATACTTTGCTACACCACAATAACATCCATGTATTCTGAATAAAATTCTTTATCACATAATAATGAAGGTCAAAGATAAAGTATATTTCTTCAGATTCAACTCGAGCAATACTAGTTTTATACCACAGAAACAAGAAATCCAAAATGACCAACATCTTAAAATAGACATTACCTCGGAGTCTGTGGGATTTACTCCCATTTTCACTCTAACATCATCATTGCAATCCATAACACACCTTTGTAATTTATTTTGAAGGCCCTCCAACTCTTTTTGTACATAAGACTGTGCCCAATTTAATGACACAGAACATTTCTCTACACATTTCTGCACTCTTTCCAAAGAAGCCTGGTTATCTTCACAACATTTTGCTGCACATCGGTGCATATCTGCCTAAGCCTTATTTAAAGTTACATAAAGTATAACTATGTCAACTATTTACCTGCATTTTTCGTAGATATTGCAAATCCAGTTCGTTTATCATTTTGGTCATTTCTTGTTCGATACGTTGTCGTTGTTGTTCAACCATTTTTCTAAAGTTATTTTGGTTAAAAACAGAAAATAATTGAAAATATAGTAACGTTAAAAATGTGGTTGGATTATAAACGTTAGAGGTTTTCCTCTTCTTTTCTCTCAGGATTGGCTCTCAAGGCGCCAAAGTGTATTTGATTCTTCTTTTGAAGAATTTAAATGAGTGTAAATAACCATGAAATCCGCGAGGGTGATGGGATGTCTCAGATACTCCTCACGGGGTATCCTTTTTGCGGCCCAATAAGATAGTCCCAACTCACCATGAAGCTGCCATTGTCAATGTTGCAGGATCATTAATAGTGAAAACACAAAATAATGACAATTTTTTTATTGTGAAATTCGCCGGATCATGTGATTGGCTGCAGTATTGGAAAAAAAATCGAATGAAATGCTGAGCTATAAATAAAGAAGAAGAAATGTATGTAACCTAACATTGTCAAATTCAAGTGGTAAAATTAGGTTCAAAAATGTTTAAGTTTGTACCATCTAAAGTATTAAAAAATGTAATCAGTCGACAACTAAGTAAACAAATACAAAACACAAACGTGAAACCGCTTGAAGGTATAAAACCAGAACTGATATTAACTAGAAAATGCACTGATAGGTTAAAAGAAATAATCAAGGATATGCCAACAGGTTTTTTAAGACTTTCTGTGGATGGTGGTGGTTGTTCTGGGTTTCAATACAACTTTGATTTGGACACCAAAATTAACGCGGATGATAAGTATGCATCAAACATAAAAATTGCAACATTTTGTTGACAGGCATCTTAATTTTTGTAGAATTTTTGAAAGAAATGGTGTCCGGGTAATAATAGATGAAACGTCTCTTGAATATGTTAAAGGTTCAACCATTGACTATCAAGAAGAACTTATACGTTCCTCTTTTAAAGTTGTTAATAATCCACTAGCTGAACAAGGATGCTCATGTGGTGCATCATTTGCAATTCGACTGGATTAGAATAATTAATAAATGATTTAATAATTGAAATCTGTATATATGTATATATAAATACATTATTTGTAACAGCATATTTCTTACATCTTTCTTGCAGTTAATATTGGAATTCTGGCAACTGGTTACAAAGATAATTTTTAATAGTTTTATTCTGGATTTTTGGACTATCATATGCCAAGTACCTTGAAAATGACGTCTATGAGCTAATTGAGTGAATAACAGTTTTTTGTAATAAATGTAATCTCAGTTTCAACTAAAATTGGCATTTAAAAAAATGTTTTAATTAAAAAACGAATTAAGTCCAGTTTGAGTTAATTTATTGTTACATTTTTTTTCCAAAACTCAAAATTTATAAGTTGAGAATATTTATGTTTTTTGAAATTATTTCCAGTGTTTAATTAGTTTTAATACTATAATATATGTCAAATTGTTTTTTCTAGATACATACATTTATTTAACTGAATTATATTATCATCTACGGTTTCTTTGTTGTCAAAAAATAAAAACTGATTTATAGAGCCAATATATAGGGGCACATACATAATATCTCTACGTGATAAATAGAAACTTCATATACAATTAAGTCCAAATGATTGAATTTTTTACTTAACACTTGTTTGCCTGTGATACATCAAGGCAACAAATAGAATGACCAGAACCAACCAAAAGTAAGCAAATATATGTATCCATGAGCGCTTTTTGTGCCAATGTTAAATGTCAAAAAATTGTTTCACTTATTAAACGAAACTTTTCAATCAGTTATATATCAGATTTACTTGTTTATTGCATTTTACATTAACTGCTAAAAAATATAGGTTATTATAACATAATTACAAAGACAATAGTAGTTGTGTTTTCAGTACATGACTAAAACATGCCTAAATTTCGACTTTAAAATTTGATACAGTTACAAGTGAAATAATTTAGACTAGAATTATGGTATTCATTCATATTTGCTTTAGTTTTGAATAAATGTGTTAAGTTTAATGGTCCAATAGTATTATTTGATAATTCTTACACGAATAACTTCTGCAAAAATTCTTAGACAACTATTAAAAAGAGCCAGCAAGTCAGTCATACCTATACCATACCTGGAATTACAAATCAATTAGAATTTGCACGTTTGAATGATAATCTGGTTTAATAAAAACCAACACACAAAATGATGTGCAAATCTTATACTAGCCTAAGTCAATAAAATTAATGCATTATATGCTAGCATATTCACTCAACACTAAAATAAACATTGTTAGGAATGAAAACTGATATGACGGAATGTTCCTCCCCGTTTATTTTTTACCAGACAATTTATGTTTTAGTATTTGAATTTCATCACACTGTTGGGTAATTTTTTCATTCTGTGCCGCCAAATGTTCAGTCATAGCATCAAGCTGACTTTTATAGTTTTCATTGGTGGTCACTAATTCCTCATAACTTTTCTCCAAATTATTTTGGAGGTCTGTATATTCCAAAATGAAATTTTCTAATCTTGATTTCAAAGCTTGATTTTCTGCCAACAAAGATTTTGTTTCTGACTGGGCTAAAGCTTTGGATTCTAAAATATCTCTTATTTGACATTCATAATAGCTTGTTAGTTGTTCTTTAGAAGATGGTTTTGATCTTAAAACTTCACATTCTGATCTCAATTTTTCTAGTTCATTTTTCAGACACATCTAAAATGATGAATAATTAAAATTATGTTTAAACTGTTTTGCAATCCTCACATTTTCTTCAATATCACAGATAGAAATTTGCTCAAAATTTTGAGTCATCTTGGTCTTTGATAATTCATGATACTTGTTCATCAAGGCATCCTTTTCATTTTGAAGTTTGTCTATATTTTCTTTATATATTTCTTCCTTGGCAGCCAGCTGTTCTTCAAAATTTGTCAGTTTATCTTCCTGCCAAATTATTTTTTCTTTATAATTTCTTATTTCTATCTCCTTGTCCGAAACCTATAAGTAAACATCCCTATTTAAATAACCAAAGAACTGAATAAATTTAACCTACATCACTTAATAATTGTGCATTCTCTATTATCTTTTTTTGAAGTTCTTCATTCAAAACGCTAGTATCGTCTACCCGTAGGTGATCTAAATTTTTCTGTTTTCCTTTTCTACCATCACTGCTTACATGCAGCTCTTGTTGAAGCACCAATATGCGTTTAGTTAGCTGTTCATTTCGAAAAGTTAAGCTTTCCATTTCTTGATCATGTTTACGCATGGATTGTTCATACTTGCGAAGGCTTTCTGTAAGTTGAGTATTTTTTGCTTGTTCATCTAGAACTGCTTTTTTCAAAACCGATGCTTGCGATCTTACCTAAAATAAAATACATTAATATGAATAAAAACTAGGTTTCTGTGTACTTTTGCATATTCCCCGGCTAATTTTTGGTACTTTAATTCCATTTCTACATTATTTTCCATGTTTAAACTATTTTTTTCTGCTGTTGCAAAGCATTTTCTATATTTTTAAACATTTCCATTGTGGTTTATTCTTAAATTTGACAGCTGTTAGTAAGGTTATGTTGTTGTTACTGAGATTAGATAATGACTAAAAATAGAGAGTTTTAGTTACGCTAAATATTGCAACGTGTCGACTACCAAATTGCATGCGAGAAATGTTTTCCCGAATTTGTGTATGTGATTCGGACGGCGTTTATTTTTAAAAAGTTATAGGTTCAGCGTCTATGAAAAATGTAAATAAATTCAGAATCACGAAAGATGACTCTTATAAATGTAAATAAAACTATATGGGATACCAAATGTAGCACAAATCTAAGTGAAAAAAATGTTCTAGAAGGAACTGTTAAACCTCATATAAACAGAAAGCTCATTGCTTCGTCGCAAGCCAATAAACAATTTGTTTAAAAAAACGATATTTTAATATGTTATGTAAGAAAATTGCACAGAAATTAGTTTTAGAGAATACATAACTTAATATAATTTAAAAATAATTTCCACCAAAATAATCAAGTCTATTTTGCTCGAAAAATTTGCATTGTGTCTACCATAAAAAAATTACCAGTTAATACCTTTTTTAACAGCAATTTTTATGTTAAAAATACATACCGGGTTTAAGGATTGTCCCTTAAGGCATCTTGTATAATGACGTCATCACTTTTCATATTTGGGTACAACGCGAAAAACATAACCGTTATTAAAGTTCAGCTTTTTGAGTCCCTTGAATTATGTAAATACTCATTTATTTCTAAGTTAGAACCACCACTTTAAACTGGTGATTATAGAAATTTGGGACAATAGAGTTATTAATAATTGGACTAAATAAACATTATCTTTCCTTTTCAATCCCTGGAACATGATTTTTTCTTATTATTTAGAATTAGCCGTTAAATATTAAAACAAAACTAATCCCAAACAACTGCTCGACTGGAATGAACATCTCACGGCACCAGAAAGCGAAAAGACGGCACTGATTTTCAGCCTATTGGGATGTGGACATGCAAGTGAATTTAATTTTTCATGAAAGTTTACTGAGTCACATAAAACGTATTTATCACCCTTTTGACTATATCATAGCTAATGCAGTTTAATGTTTTTAACAGGAATCAATCATTGCGGTATATCTTTGAGAACAATTAAACAAAGCCATAGACCGAGCTTTTGTATTATTCCGTTACACTACCAATCTATTTCCATAACATTAAAACTTGCAGATTTCAAATTCATATTAAATGGATGAGAACAACTTTTTATACACTTTTTACAAAACTTCCGGATTCTTTCTATGTCGGTTTTTGCTCAGTCGAATTTCAGTTTCAGTCAAGCTCTGAAGAAGCCAACAGGATGATTGGCGAAACGTCAGCAAGTTCGACTCAGCAAAAACTGGCGCATGTTTGAATGTAATGTTCACCTGTACAATACCATTTTTGTCTACTATTACTGAGTTATAGTCCCAATATATTCTTAGAGAATGTTAAAAATAATAATTTTGTGCTTGAAAAATACAAAATAAAAATATTTCACAAAGCCACGTCTGCAACAGTCACTTTCATCAAACATTTGGCATCACCGCAGAGGCGCTCTAATCCCAGCCGCCAAAATTAACCTCAAAAATTGTTGTATTGTTTGCTGTTTCCAAATTATAAATGTTTTGTTAATTTGTTTATTGCATGGCCTCATTGTAAATTTCTTGCCATGGCTCAGGATTTTAATAAAAAAGTTATGCATCAGTACTTAAAAGGTATGTTGTTTTGTTTAATTTTTGGCAGAATGTTTGTTTAAATAATAATAATAATATTCGTTTTTCTAAATCAGACACCAATGGACGTGATATTAACAATTCAGATGAGTTGTTACCGCAATACCTTCAAAGACCGAAAAACTCACAGGCATCAGCTTCTGAGGAGAAAGAAAAAAGTTTAAATGAAAGTGTTAATGAACTTTTAGAGGCAATAAGTGAGTCAGATAATATAGCTTCACCCAATAATACGGTTAAGAATGTTGTCTTTACACCTAAAAAATGGTCTAGCGAGAAAAAAAAATTGCTGAGGCTCGATAAGGAAGGCAACAACAATGAAATTCCTGCAGGGCAGGAAAAAATTCAAAGTGAAGAATGTGATGATACTTTTTTTGATGTACTTAACTCTCCAATAGGATTCAATGATATGCCTAAAAGTGACAAAAGCATGCTTAAAATCATCAATCATAAATTGAAATATGTGAATATACAAAACAGTAACAAGTTTTTGGCATCCAGTAATGAAACTCGAATAAAGATGCTTTACAACTATCACATTGCTGCTGCTAAGTTCCGAACCCACTTGGCCAAGATGTCCATGAATATGGTTCCTCTGCCTAAGCCAATAGTTGCTATCGAATCAGAACCTGTTGTAAATCCAATGATACAATCCCTAAAAGATGGAGCACAAGAAGAATTGAATGAAGAACTGTATGTAAGTCGATCAGGTCGCCACACTAAACGAAAGGTGAGTGAACTTTTCCAAATAAATCATTTCGTTTAAAGATTGAATTCTTTTTTGTAGTAATTTTTGTTCAATTAATTTAAACTCAGCTTAAGCCAATATTTCAAACTTTTTTTATTACTGGTGCCAAATTTATGGCCTCTCAACTCTTTGGTTGTTGGTTAACTAAATGTTTTACATGTGTTGGATATAAAATTAAGAGTCTGTTGGGTTTCTGTTGATTTTAAGTTACTAATTGCTAAGTTACTAAGACATTGTAAAAATAAATAATCAGTACACTTGAATGGAATTCTGTACACATATAGATAACTAATCAATTTTGCTTGAGGTTGTTTATATCACATGTTTTGATGGAACCAAATTAGAACTTTCTCTTTCTGGTTTGTGGCAGTAACACTTTTCTTACTTACAAAAAAATGATTGCAATGTTTTAGGTGTATAATGAAGATGATTCCAGTCAGGATGAATTAACAAATAAAAGGAGCAAAAATGATTCATGGATCTCCAAGTCTCCCTTAAAAAATAAAACACCTGCTAAGAAAACTGACTCTGTCTCATCAACAATTCTTCAAAAAAGTAAGATTTTTAATTGAACTTTGTTTTATTAACAAGCAGTTATACTTTGCAGGTGATAAAACTCATGAAAGAAATGAAAAAAAGGGTACTTTAAAAGCACATAACTTTCACAATAAAAAATTGTCAAATGAGGAAATCATGCAGAAGTCCAGTTTATTTAATGACCACAAGTCAAGGACCGAAATTCTTGTAAATTCAGGTTAACTTCTTAATTTTTTTAAAAGTTAATTGCGATTTTTATAAATATATTTTCTCGGTAGCTATTGATGAAGAACGTAAAAGAAGAAAAGCGGAAGAAAAGTTGCAGCAATTCAGTGATTCTCTACACGATGATATAATGGATAATTCTTCAGAAGAGATTTTATCTGTGGATGAGGATGTGGAAGATATATCAAGAAAGGGATTGGTTCCTTCTGTTTATGGCCGAAAATCTATTAATAGTCGGAAACGAAAAGAAATTGGTTTGTTTGAAATTCAGATATATTAGATGTTGCTTGGCAGACATAGTAACTGCAGTTACATATAAATGCCTCACATTCTCATCATGTTTGTACAAATAAGCGGTATTAATTATAATTATTTAATTAATGGATGAATTGCTTCTGGGAATAATTAAAAAGTGTACTTCTGGGTAGATATTTTAATACCTTACTTTTAAAGTGCTGTATTGTAACTTTTTATATCAACAGCAATTCCTATTTTTCAAATCATTTAAACAATCCAGATATTAAAGAAAATATTAAGTGATTTTCCAGTCTGAAAATAACAGTTTTATATCACAATTTTTCTTTGTAGCACTGGAACCTTTAAATATTACAACTAAAAAAAATACTAATAAGATAACTTCATGTGATGAAAAAGAGGCAAATAAATCCGCCAATAATGGTATTGGAAGATCACAAATTTGTGGACAAGCGCACAATGCCGTAACCCCTCCGCTTAACAGTAAAGGAAATAAACCAAAACAAATCACAATAGCTTGTCCACTTTGTGGAGTATCATTCCCTAAGGATAAAGTTGAGGTAAATATAATAAATAACTTTCCGTCAATAATCTGAAACTTTAATGTGATAACCGATATTTTATTTTAAAGATGAAACAACGTGTTTGAACTTGTATTGTACAATGAAACATGGTATTTTGAATGCATTAATGAAGCTAGTAACTTGTTTATTTAGTTTGATTTTTAACTGATTTTTTAATAAAAATTTTACACATTACATATGATTTCAGATTTACCATTTGATACTTTACAGCTACAAAATCAAAAAAGCGCAGTATTTAGTTAGTTTGTTTTTCTTTTCTCTCGATTGTTTTCGGAAATCCTTTATTGAGAAATGACGTAAATTCTATTTGCACCGATTGCATATCTGTCAATATTCTCATTGTCGATATTCTCATTCTCATGGCCTCATGGATTTTAGTTTTGAATGATTTTATTACTTTTCATCATTTTTGGAAGAACATTTACAAATTACTTTCAGTGGTTTTATTGTTGTATTTGTACATGCTGACACTACAGGTGCTCTCAGGAGTTAAGTATGCACCCAACTGTTGTAACGTTTGATATGTCCCTGAAGAAAGATTGGATTTTCGCTGCTTTTCTGTTTTGTTTCGGACATTTCCGGTACTTTAGTCACGGGTTTGGAGATGATCGGATGTTTTCGATAGACTTTAGCCATTTTATTTTCAGGTGTGTCAGTTTTGACCTTCACGTCATGCGTCACTCAGTGACGGATTTTTCTGCGAAAATGTACCTAAAACTAATAGTCATAGAAGAAGCATAGTATGCAACATATTGATAAACTTCTTCAGTCACTCGTTGATTATACAAACTTGTGACTAAAATGGCATTTATCAAACTTGTTGCATAGTATACCATACTTTGAGTTAATTAAATACCTACACTCAAAAACGAATTATTGTTTATTATTGATTAGATAATCAAATAATATTTTTAATTTGAAGGAACACGCAGCCACCTGTGGCGAGGAAGTTATCGTAAGGTCAAACACCAAATATGGAAGGATTAGCTGTGAAATATGTGATCAAATTGTGCCGCTAAACAAAGACTACCACCTTCACGTGCAAGATTGCAAATCAAAAAGGAACGGTTCTCAGTGATTTCTATTCCGTTTTTTTATTCTATTTCAGTTGCCTTGTTAGTTTTGTAAAATTAATTGTTAATTCAGAATGTAAGATTTCATAGTTGTTATTAAAATTTTTTCCATATTATTTATTGATTTATTGCTAACGTTCCAAAATTATCAATGAAAGTTTATTCATCTGGGACATAAGAAAGTGCGAACACAATAATTTTTTCATGGTTTGATAAAGTCATTTGAAATTTGAATGTAGACAGCAATGATGACTTAAAAACAGGTTAGTTCATTATTTTGCAGATTTGCCGTTAGATCAGTAAAGAAAAGAAAAAACACTTATACATGTCGAAGAAGCCTAGACACAATTTTCAAAATGAAATAAATTTAAAGAATAGTTGAAAATGATCAATGATCATGCGTAAAAATGTAAAAAAATCCGATGCAATAGTTTTTTGTGTTGTTTGTTGTACCCTGTGGACATATAATGCTTGTCGTTATCGGTGTATTTTGTACTTGGATATTTTGCAGTCGAACCAAAAATTAACTATGCTTGTATTATGATCAGAACCCAAAATAAGATATTTTATAATTGGTAATCGGAGATAATAATTTTAAGGACTTGGTAAGCACATACCTAATGAACATAATAAAGTACCCAAGATAAATATGTACAGCCGGGGAAAAATAAAATAATAAAACCCATTCGCATATTAACATGGCATCTAAAGTAATTATCTAAAAAGTTTTATTAACGACGCTTTAGTCACGAGTGGAGCGCAGCGAAGAGGGGTGTTTAATAAACTAGTGTCTGAAAGACTTCATAAACGTGTTTCATACTGCTGGGGGTAAGTTTAGGGGTAAATTTTTGCAAAACAGCGCCAGTACATTCACTCAGTGAGGCGTGAGTGTTTTAAATATACCGGAACCGTTCGACCACTTCCAAACCCGTGACCAAAGTACCGGAAACGCCCGAAGTGATTCGAGACAGTGAATAATAAAGTTTATCGTAGAACATATATAATATGCGAGGCAAGACAAGTATAGTTACCAGGGCAAGATCAAGGGAATTATTCGATTTTTATAATTTTCTAAGACACATGTTATTTAAGAACAAATTTTACGAATAATTTTCACGGCTTATGCCGATAGCACCAAAACTTATGAATCAACTATGAAAACATTTTTGAGGTCAATTCAGCATGTGCGTGCGCGAGATTTAAAATCTGGTTTGGTTTGCGGTATTCAACAAACAACATGGTCGCTAACAGATCGTTAATAAGTTTGCATACTACGTTTTTAAAGCAGTATTTTCTCAAAATATCTCTACATCGCGTTAAATGTTTTGCGAAAAGGAGTAAAATCTGTAGAAATCGCTGCTTAGAAAGAACATCAAAATATCAATTCCGCGCATCGTTTTTTACCGTAGTAAAGTAAACATTGCGAAATTCATTTTTTTAAGTAAAAATTATTTAACCAAAAACCAAAAATACAGTAAATTTGACTTTTTTTTTCCAGAGGGTCAAGTAAACAATCTCACGTTGGGTAATGTTATTTTTAAACAAATTCTTTGTGATTTTAAATCAAAATGAAAATGAAAATTTATCTTTAAAATATTGTCGTTCTCAAAAATGCAGAGAAAAAAATTAAAGCCACGAGTATCCCATTACAAGTACTAAGAAAGGGAACTTTACGTATATTTAATATTTTACCAGAGAGTTTTTTTGCTATTGACTTACTTATCTAATTAAAGTGTTAGAGGTAGGGATATCGTAAGAACCTGATTTGAATCCAAGTTTCTCTTTCTTAGCTGGGCTTGACAGTAGAAGTAAAGGTTTCAATTTTCTTAGCATTTCAACGATGAAAGAGGTTCAATTTTCTCAAACAGACTATGGTAAAAATATAGAATTTTCAGAAAATTTCAATTTCGTTACAAGGGTGAAGTTTTTATGATTTTTTTTCATAATGGAAACTTATACTCTCAACAATACTTTTTTTATTGTAATCCTGATAAAACTGCGCAAGTTATTTCAGCTTTGCGTCACTTTTGTTACATATATGTGGACCAAATGTTGATATTTTCAAAAAAACGGAAATAATATAAGCAAAAATGTTTATAAAAATATTTGATGTTAACAAGTGACAAATACGTTAATATGTATCATATTTTTTGAGAACCTGACAAATTTGGCAAATTGGGCGAGCGAGTCCGTACGATTGTTTTCTTATTTTAAAGCCTAAAGTAAAGCTGAACAAACATTTAATTTAATTATAAAATTATTTAAAAAATCCATATGATGCCACCTTTGGCGTCATATAACCGAAGGTAAAGTTTTACTGACACTGTATAATTGCCTATGATTTATTTTTAAAATAAATATATTTTTTTTAAATTATTATTTCATAATAAAACATAAAAAATTCTTGTAATTTTCAAACTTCTCAAAAAAATCAAACTTTTTAGCAGTTGTAAATTCGAATGGGATTCTTAATTTCATGTTCATTATTTGTTCTATGACACACTGTATATACTGTTATTATTTGATACGATATTGACCTGACGTTTCAATTCGCCCGATTTTTGTTTTATTTTATTGAAAATAAAAAGTGGCTTATCTGAAAATCGAGGTTTGCTTGTGATACCCGCATGTTTGTATTCTGCTTCGATATTATTTTTAGATAATATTTCAATTGTTTTGTTTACCACTTGAAAAGCAATTCAAGGGCTTTATTGTTTCAATAAGTATAATGCCCGGCAAAACCTAATTCACAGCAGCATTTTGCACTGGCCGTTCAAGATGTTTTTACCATTACGACGCCTTGTGGTTGTTTTTGTGTTAGTTGTAGTTGCTTATTCTCACGCAAAAGAAAATAAATTACAAGACCTGGGAGGAGAATGGACTGCAAAGGAAACAAATTACTGTAAGTTGATTTTTCGCTTCTAAAACTTTCAGCTAAATAAAATTTTAATGCTTAATTTGCAGACAACCATTTTAAAAAATGTTTTTCGTATTTTATTTGCACCTACGTGACCATCTCAAATATAGCTTTTTCTATGTATTTGATAAAATCCTATTATATAATCTTCTTCCTGAAATTACACGTAGAAATGACTTTAAATAACTTTACAATAACTATCCAATTGTCGAATTATCTTTATTTAGTTTTATCTTATAGCGATCAAAGACATAGATCATGTATTACCATAGCATCAGGACCAACTATCGTACTATTAAATCGCAAAAATATACACGTTCAACTAAATTAGTTTGCTAACAAACAGAAGAGTACGGATATACAAGGGGTAGCCATAAATAAAACTTTTTCCAGAGTTTATTACTCAATATTCAGTATACTTTGTCGAACTTGCGATACATATTCATATAAAAATTTCATTTTATTGATCTTCCGGATAACCCATATAAACAAGTAGGGTTTCTAGAAATCTTAATTAGTAGTCTCGACACTATTAACAAGGTAACAAGGTAAATTTATAAAAAATATTTTGTTATCCAATGATGGTGATTACTAAATTACATTTTTGAATGACAAACTATTTAACTAGTTAACGTCATTTCAAAAACTGCTAAACGAAATGCCGACAAACTATATATTGTTGAAGTCGTTTTCAAAAGCACTTCCATCTTAAATAGAAATATAATGGGTTTTTCATTTAAAAAAAGGTGTTAATTTTTTTATATTTGCGACGCTCATCTCTTTTTATTGGAAAGTTCAGAAGGTAATAGAGAAAAAACAAACAACTTTGAGACATTGAGCGAGAGCGACAATGTCACTTGGCGTGCGAATTACACAGGTGATCTTTTCTACAACCCTCTTTTTTATCAAAAATGTCTAGTAAAAATTAATAGTAATCTAACTAGTAATCAATTTCCATTGAATTTTCACAGAAAGACATATTTACGCTAGATGATTCTTCATTATGGTTTCCATGGTAACTAACACTCGATCCTCGAAAAATGCAACTTTGTGCTTTTTTCTAGAAGCGCAAAGTTGTACTTTAAGTTCGTTTGTAGAAAAAAGTTTTTGCTCTATAAAACTCCATAGGTGGATGTCAAAATATAAATGAAAACGTTGAAATTGAACAATCTCTCCAAATTATAAGTTAAATATGAGCGATTCTGTTTAATTTATAGCCAATATAAAAAATTATTGAAGTGTAAACTTTAAAGGTATTCTTTGAATCATGTATGCTAGGATTGAGATTATTTGTACCAATAAATCTCTTTTGTGATCGATCATGCTTTCACCTATTGTAGATTACGAGTTTCCTGTAACTGTACCAGGAGGCGTTTACACGGATTTGATGAAACAGAATATTCTTGAGGATATCTTTTTCCAAGACAACGACCAAGTAAGCAAGTGGGTAGGCCAGTGGAACTGGACGTATCATACAAATTTCACAGGTCGGTATACCCAAGGATGCCTACTTTATATAATAAAATTATTAACTTATACTTACATATAATTTTTGCGGTTTTAGTTGATGCAGATATTCTTGAATACGATAATGTACATCTGGTTTTTGAAGGCATTGACACTTTTGCTACAATCTATATTAACGATGTTGAAGTGGCGTCAACAAACAACATGTTTGTGCAGTATGTCTTCGACGTAAAGAGTATCCTCAAAGTATACCATAATAAGCTAATAAGCAGCATTGTGTTAATTGCATCTATTATTTTAGAGTGGCAAAAATACTATCGTCATATATTTCCTAAGTCCCGTATTAATGGGAGCGGATTTATATGCTGAACAATTGAAGTCTTACAGAATCCCATACGAATGCCCAGCGGACGAGTACAGAGGCGAATGCCATATAAACATGATTAGAAAAATGCAGGCGGCGTTTTCGTGGGATTGGGGACCATCGTTCGCATCCATGGGAATTTGGTATTCGTCTGCGATATCGCTTTAAATGAGACAACTAATAAATTTCAATATTAGGAAGCCGGTATACATTGAAGCATACGATGAAACCGTAATACGTTACGTAGTCACCCAACTAACCGAGCAAGACGATAACTGGAACTTGAACGTTGACACGTATTTTGCCAACAACGGCAATGGAAAAGTGAAGGGAAGTCTTGATTTGGAAATTGCGCTGGATAGCAGGAAGATCAGCCAAAAAGTCGACGTTGATGTTTCGCCTAACGAATATTCGGAACTCGTTCAATCTACTTCTATAGTTATTCCAAAGGTAAGCAAATTTCATTTAATCCATCCAGCGGTGCGATATTTTACATTTTCAGAGTGAAGTCAAAGTTTGGTGGCCAAATGGTTATGGAGCTCAACCGTTATATACGTTAACCGCCGTTTTTGCGGATGCAAGCGGTTCTTCTCGCAGTGAAAAGTCGACCAGAATAGGTTTTAGGACCGTCGAACTTGTTCAAGATCAACTTAGTGAGTTTTGTCAGTTTAGCTTAAAGTGCGTGTTTAATCATTGCCATTTAACCTTCAGACAGCGGACTTACATTCTATTTCAAAGTCAATGACGTGCCGATATTCATGAAAGGATCCAACGAAATTCCAATCAATATTCTGCCCGAATTAGGTCAAGACAAAGACACTATTAAACGCGTTTTAACAAGCGCCCAGGAAGTGCACATGAATATGTTAAGGGTTTGGGGCGGCGGCGTGTACGAATCTGATTATTTCTATGATTTGGCCGATGAATTGGGCATTCTGATATGGCAAGATTTTATGTTTGCATGCGCGTTATATCCGTCGACTGATGTTTATTTAGAGTAAGTAAAACCTTTATCGATTTACTTACTTCATTCGAGCTGACGTGTAATGTTTCCACTACGTTTATTATGGGATGACACCTTATCCAAAAAATCTGCAAAATATGACAGAAAAATTTTAAGACAAAAGTTTTTTTAGAATCACTTATACCTTTCTGTCGTGCTCGATAGTTTTTTGTGAAATCCATATAGCATTTTTGCATTGAAAAAACGTTTTATTGCTAATATTCCCAAGTCTACAACTTTTTTTTTAATATTCAGCTCGATACAAGCCAAATGCGTAAAAACAATTTAATTATAAAATTAAAAGTTGACTTTCAACCATTTTTTCATTTAAATTTTTAATGTTTCGTCAACCCCAAATATATTACAAAGGCTTTCGGTCGGAGAAATTGATAAATATATTTAGACCTGCAAATATTATTTACGTAAAATTGAAAATAGGAAATATGTCTAGAAAGTTCTGGGGAATTACAAAATGTCTTAATATACATGGTGTTCGGCTTAAAATAAGATCGTTGTGGTTCGTTTCTGAAAATAGAGTTCTCCTCACGATAGAGCATATTTATGACTTAATCCGGTATTTAACTTTGGTTAATTTTTATGAAAGTCTAACCGCGGGGTTACCTCGCTTGGATTTCGCTTTATAACCATCCATAAATGTATTCGCAATTCCACAATGACGTTCCAGAACTTCGCTTCGCTACTTCGTGCATACAAATGCTGAAAGCTGACGGATTTGTGTCGAGTTTCATCGGTGAGATTCCTCGATCATTATTAGTCCATGCAGCGAAAAATCCATTCTTACTCTAAAATTTTTATTATAAATATAAATGAAGGAGTAAACTTAGCTATAAAACAATGTTAGAATATTTATGGACTGGACCCCTTCCCCCACATTAATAATTATTTATGACACTAGTCGACTTCTGTAAACATTTTCTTCTTTGATGACATGTTCCACACATTTTTTCCAACTAGAAGCAGATATTTTTCTACTTCACTTATAATTAATTATATTGCCCCAGGACTAAATTTCGGCGAGGTGTTGTTTCTTCTTCAGCTGAATTTCAGCTGTGCCCATATCAGTTTTATCGAATTAAAGTTGCAGTGATATTAAACTTCTTTTCAAACGTTCCCGTTTAAGAACTTCATTTTTTGACGATATCGTGGCTATCAAACCAGGTCTATATATCGTGCATTTCTCTCAAATATCTTGTCCTGCACTCCGAAATTTTTCTTGATTTCATCAAAACTTGTCTCTTATTGAGGGTTTTGTGATGAAAACCAATTCTTCGTACGAACGCACGCAGTCTCTTGGCAACAGTCAATGTTCAAAACACTATGCAACCCTTCATGTAAAGTTTTGATTGTTAAAACAAAATTCTTTTGATACGCATCATATATCAACCGTCTCACTACTTGCGCATGGTGCATGTCAAGTAAACTTTTTGGGACCCCACGATCTTTCCGCGTTTTTCTTTCTTGGAAATCATTCACAACTATGTCACGTACTGTAGCGTATCGTGTTTTAGTCAACTCGGATGTTAATTTTATGGCTCCACTTCCCCAGAGGTCGATTTTGGCAGCAATCGGCAAATGTGTCTGAGTCTTGACCCATTTGAATTTGACGAATGTTCATCATCAACGATTATTACGTCATCTACCACAATCCCAACTTCTTTGACGCTGGACATCGCAAGTGACTAATAAAATTGAATAATGTTAGTATTTAGTAAGAAATAAATAGTAATAAAATGTACATGGTACCTCAAAACAATCGAATAACAGTAAGTTAATCATTACTAATTACAAACACCTTACGGAATAGAAATAACCTCAAAGCTAAGAAAATTCTGTTTTATAAAACTGACAGCATACTCCGATTTCAGCAGCCCCCACAAATCAACCAATAGCAAACTGGGAAAACTTCCATTATAAATCAATTATCCACATAAGATTTTCTATTGCTTTCCTAGGGAAATATTTTAGAGTCATTATGTTATACCCTTAAATTGAAAATCCGTTCAAGCTTTTCCAAAGTGTTTTTAATATAGGAGATCAACCTATCTAATGGGCAAATTCAACTTGAAATCGGTGTTTTAGGAAGATATATAAAAAGCACACTAATATGAAATAATATAACACTTTAATCAACAAAAATTTCTATACTCTTAAAATACAACAGTCCGCACGGCACAGTTCTTGTCGACAAACAGCTTAAATACGACCGTGGCTTGTGGTGCACGTGCTGAAAAGAATGGTCAATTCCACTCCACAACTCGTTCCGAAGTCAAAACCATAAAAGCTTGTAAAAACGATATATCGTTTATAAAATTCTACAAACACGCTGTATACCGGGTGTTTCAAATTCAATTCTCTCCATTAGGATATCGGTAACGTTTAACAGATACAGGGTGATTTTAATTAGGGCAAAGTTGCGCATCGGTGAGTTCAATAATGTTCCGTTTTGAAATTGAAGTTACTTTTGTTACTTCCGAAAATATGGCGGTACATCTGAAATTTCCGTTTTTCGTTTTTATTTTTCTATGTCTTTAATTTAAAACTTAAGAAAAATCTGTAAATACGTTCTCATTGAAACTTTTTAGGCTTCATCTTATGGACAGGTCAAAAATCCCTGAGAATGTTTCGTTTTCTTAAAACCATCAACAACTTTATTTTTTCTTACGATCACCATATTGGATTTTTGAAGTGTTAAATAGCTCGCACTACCTACCTTTTCATTGATGTATATCACAAGTTGTATTTCTGTTTCTTCAAATTCGAAATATTGAACAAAAACTTTTATACCATAGTAAGCTATGAATTTTTAAATATGTCGATGACATTTTAATATCTAGTGCATTACTATGTTGTTACAAATGGACTTTTGCCATGAATAAAAAGGAGATATGGTAAAACTTTACTATAAAAACGATAGAAACGGTATGAAGACAACGGAAATGTATTTGAACATGTGTGCTGAAAGACAACCTTTGTTTAAATGATTGGATAGAAATATCCCTGAGTTTGATGCAAATTTCGTTATTTAATTAGCTTTAAAAGTAAAAATTGCTCCCGTCAAGAAGATAAAAATCGTCACCAATTAATTTTGATAAAATTAATATATTGTTGTGTAAGGATCAGAAATTTCGAAATGATTTCTTTGTAGGAATGTTGTTGAAGAAATTCGTCACAATATCAAAAGAATTTATAATCACCCGAGCATTGCTATATATTCAGGGAATAACGAAAATGAAGGTGTTATAGCTGACAATTGGTAAGTTTTTGTATATTTTAATGTGCTTTATGATTTATATAGATTTACATTTATTTCTTATTTTATCTACAAACGGATTGCCACTTTCGAGATACTAAAACAGATTATTCATATTAAAGAACATTTCTTCACATGCAGTGTAATATATACAATATATCTCTACCAGAAACTGTGAAATATGAAAAAATAGTTGTTATGCATTTATTGCATTGTCCTTCAGAGTGTGGGATATGTAATTTTTCTTCAATTTTTAATTTAATATTCAAAAACATTGTTTAACTTGTTTTTATATTTCAAAAAATGTTATGGTGTTACATTTTGTCAGTTTTTTTGAATACAATCTTTAGAAGGAATTGAAAAATCGTTTTAGGGGCAAGATAATACATTACACACCGCATCAGACTTCTGGAAAAGTTCTATTAATTAAAATTTCTTTTCGAAAAAACATAGGACGATTTTGAATGTGAATTTATCCTCAGGACCCGTTTTCTATTTTTTCGTTATTTTATTTTTCTAAAAAAATAATACTGCTGCAAATATTGATTATACTGAATGCTATTTGTCTATGGCTAGGTGACAACGTTAACTTGGTATAAACTAGAGGATAGGAACATTCATGTGCTGCACAAATTAAAATATTTCCAGAAAAGTACAAGTTTAATCTCTTTTTCTACTCAAAAATTTTTAACGATGGCCCACTAATTAAAGTTATCCTATCTAGCGAACATTATACAACAATTTTTACCTAAAATTGATGTTTTTGCTCATTTAAAAACTAGAGTTCTTACAAGTTATATCATATAAAAAAAAAACAATTTTTTCACACCTTATTGCCAGATTATATTTTTTCTCTTTACGAAATATTAGGGACCGGCATGTTCTAAAAAAAATCAAATTATAAACTGAAGAGAAATCTTTAAATTATCGTTTAGGAAACATTTCATTTCTGTTGGGGGGAAAAATGAAACGTAATTAATTGACAATTTTCAGGTACGGAACTAATGATAACATTAGCTTGTATAAAGCTGACTATGTTAAGTTATACGTTGACACCATAAGAACGGAATTTGACAGAATATCGCATAATTCTGGAATTTACGTAACATCCAGTCCTAGTAATGGCAAAGAGACTGAATCCGAAAATTATGTAGCAACAAATCCTGGCAATCAATTTTACGGAGATGGTGTGCCCTAGTAATTATTTCTTTAATACTAATTTCATCTGGTTTATTTTTTTAGTGCATTTCTATAACTATAATTTAGATCCCTGGAACTCCAACTTCTACCCCGTTCCGAGATTCTGCTCGGAATATGGTTACCAATCATTGCCGGATATCGATACCTTGCTTACGGCCACCAACAACACTGCCGATTTACAAATCACTAGTGATTTTATGGACCACAGGCAGCACCATCCAGATGGAAATAATGAAATGAAACTTTTGATCGATCTTAATCTTCAGTTGCCTAGTGACTCGTCGGAAAACTACTACAAGGCGTACATTTTTTACTCGCAGGTATTTTATTGCAACAGCAGCCCTTTTAAGGTACATGTCCATTTAGAGCCGCTCTTGAGACTATTTCGATTTGTATTTGTACTGTGAGAGCACTCGAACCTAAAATGACAGAAAAAAAAAACATAGGTCTACAAAATTAAACTTTTTGACAGACGTTTTTATATAATTTTGGAAGGCTATGCAATTTTTTGGATCACGTACGGTTTTTTTTGCAAATATTAGAATAAAAAATGTGATATTTCTAAAATAATTTATTTTTTTATTCAGTAAAAAAGTGGAATCCTAGTTAAAAAAGTGAAAAAAGATTACTCAGACTTTTGAGTGAAATCTTCGTCAGGTGCAAGGCTTGTTCTAGAGGGCCATTCTATTTGAGTCCAATGTCTATCTCTTGTCCTAGGAGCATGCACAGCAGCCTAAGGTCACCACAAGGCATCCACTGAGGTTCTTGGTACTTTATTTTCCTCAAAAGAGCTCCTAAATTTTCATACGTTTCTTTTAAATGTACAACGGGAACGGAAGCCATTTCGTTACCATTGTGTAATAAACTATGCGTACTTGAGTCAATTACAATGCAATACACTAACAGGTCTTTCTGTGTAAAATATTGACATAATTCTTTTTCGCGATCCTGGTAAAATCTCGATGTTACGAACAGGTGCCAACTCAATAAATTGTTGTCACAAAGACAGGACGCTAATAATTCGGATGCATCCTTTAGAAGGTGCATATCTCTAAATAAATCATTTAATTCGCTCTGGTTAAATACTTGGGGCTCTCTTAAATCTGGTGTAGGTATCGGTACATCTGGTGCATGAGGAACTGGTCGAATATCAAAGTTCGGATTGGGATAAAAAATTTGTTTCTTATTTTTTCTGTAGAATCCTTAAACATTACGTGAACAAAAATAACAGTCATCACTGTGATTGCTAGGTTTTAGTTTTATCATAGGAACAACAAGTCTTAAACATTTCTTCCGACCTTTTTGGCAGGTTCTTAATGCTTCAACGCAAACAGAATAAACATAAAACAAGCGGGATATACATTTTTCTCGAAACAAGTTATAGTTTGCCTTTTCTTTACTACGACATAACTACCACAGATATAACAAAGGGTATTTGAATTATTCATACAACGTCTTCTGTCCGTATTTATACGTTCGGGGACACTAGAATTACCCAACAAAGAAAACACAGTAGCACGACGACCAGTACAACCAAACTGCGCATAAGCATGTTACAACATTGTTTTCACACTTCTACGCCAACTCTGGTGCTTTGCACAGAAATCTAATATCCAGTGTTGCCAAATCACATTTAATTTCATAAAAATCAGCTCATTGAAAATCATGCCTAACATGGAACAAACATATTCATGTCATAGGTGTGTATATTAATAAAATAATATTTTTAAGATATAGAGCGCTATTGTGATTGAACAAAAATATGGCGTTTTGGATATAATGAAATTTATTCGTATTTATGAGAACAGAATTATTTCTTTATGTGTTTGTGTTTTTTAACTCCTGTACACATTTTGTTATTTAATTTGGGTGGTCAAATTTTTGTTTTTATTTTGGTAAGTAGCTGATTACCTAAAATGAAATTTTACAGGGTTATTTACCATTTTCAGATATGTTCTTAACTGATTTTCCATTTCTGTCTAAGAACGTGTAAAACTGCCGACTGTAGCGATTTTTTCTTTATTTTTCAGACCACGTAAATAAGTAATTAAACCTTGAGATGAATTTGACACTTGATCACATTTTCCTTATTGGTTCTTAGACAGAAATAGCTGCTTTCATTTTCTATTTCTTTTTACAATTGACAATTGGTGCGGGTCTTCGATCGCTGAATTCAAGGTTTAATCCAACACTTCCTTTTTACTTTATGTTTTTGCATCCTCTTGCTCAACACACTCGAAATGGACACAGTTTTGTTAGCACATTTACTCTTAGCCTCAGCGAGTCGTCTCGTCGACCTATCCGAGAGTAAAAGTTCTGAAAAGTACCCTCGAATGGATGAAAATCCGAGATAAGCTATCGAGAGTAGCCCTCAAGAGTAAATCTCTAATGGATATGTACCTTTACATCTTACATTCGGTTGCGTCTTCAATAAGTAAATGGCGTTTTGGAAACGAAAAATTTAATTTCTAGATATATGCGGCCCAATCGATTAAAGTGGAATCCGAACATTACCGAAGGTACCGGAGTATTTTAGATGATCAAGGCCGAGGATATACCATGGGCGCTTTATATTGGCAATTGAACGATGTCTGGGTGGCGCCCACTTGGTCTAGTATTGGTACGATCGAATTGGCTCTTTCTTTAAACGCAACGTTCCGACATTTTTTCACGTTTATATAGACTACACTGGAAAATGGAAAATGCTGCACTACTTTGCCAAGGATTTCTTCGCTCCAATTATTGTTACCGGCCACATCAACAACGATCGGCAGCTCCAAATTTATACCGTTTCGGACCTTTTGAGTCCCGTAACGGACACCGAGCTTATCGTCAGAGTCTATCAGTTTAACAGTTCCTTCTCTCCACTTTACGAACGTAAAATTAATACGGACATAGTAAGTTGCAAAACTATGACGGTATACCATTGGTATTGAATATTTATGGTTCTATTTTGATAATTTTTTTATTAGTCTCTTTCTTTATTTATTTATATTATTTATTATATATTCTTTTATTAGTCTCTGAAAAACCTTTGTTTTGCTTATTGCTTCAATTTAAAATCATGGCCAACTGAGACTATTTAACAAAAAAGAGAGAAGTACTACTATGTTTTTAAAAAAAAAAATTAGAATCCAATTATAACAATTTTTATAATGATTCAATACAGGGTGTTTGAAATATCGTTTGCGTCCTCTTATTAACTAATTTTTTATGTCAAATAAAGTTTCAACAAATTCTGATTCAGGACATATCACCTAACTATACTAAGTTCGAAATATCGCGGCACAAGCATTACTCCTGTAGAATGTTTATTTATGGCTCAATTTTTAAAGTTCTTTTTTTGTTGGATGAATTTCAATGAAAGACACTAACGATTTTCTTAAAATTAAATATGATTACAGAGAATCAGATATGAACTAAACAGACTTTGCAACGCTGTATTTTTTTAATTAAAAAGTGTTTTTAATTCTCATCTAATAATAAAAATAACATAAATATCAAAATTGATTGACGTCGGCATACTGTTTCCTTGGTAAAACCAAGTTTGCCACAGAGAAGCGAATATTCGACAGTCAAATTCACTCGCTAATTTATATTTTAATTTTGTCTGCATTGTATCTTTCGAATACTAAGATTTATTCATGCTGTTGTTTTAAGATGACACTAAAACAAAATTGTCCCTTAAAAAGTCCTTTTTATCATTATCTTTGAAATTTGTATAATTAAAATTTTTAAGATTTTAAAATCACAAACTAAATAATCGTTATTTACAAGGTTTTCAATAATTATTTTTTTAAATATTAAAAACTTCGGTCATTGGTCTAGCCTCTCTTTAGTAAGATCTATCCAGCAAAAACGAATTATGACAATTGAGCAACAAACAGACATTCTACAGGAGTAATGCTTAAGTGAACCTGTTGGAACTTAGTATAGTTCGGTTATATGTAAATGATATTTCAAATAGCCTTTATAGAAACGTTATTGAAATTGGTATAGTTGGGTTCTAAGTACTCCGGAATAAGAATTGGTTGCCATTTTTTTTTTAAATCCCTTACAGTGCTACTCTCTTCTCGTTCTTTTGTTAAATACTCCCAGTTGGCCATGACCTTATGTTGAAGCAATAATCAAAACAAGTTTCTAATGCATTTTTCAGAGATCTATCCAACAAAAATAATTTACAAAATCGATCCATAAACAAAGATTTCACAAGGGTGGGACACATTGTAGATGTCGAAAAAATTTAATTTTTGTACTGCTCCTTAACGGATTTTTTTTTAATTTTTCAAATATAAGAGGCTATCCGTAAAATTATGTCACCCAATTTTTTTAAGCATCCCTTTTCGCTCGGCCTTGCCACAAACATACGATGCTGCTTCCGCTGTGGCGGTCACATGGTGTCTTCTAACTGATTTAAACTTTCTAAAGCTGGTAACGACACTTCTTCTGCCTAATTATACTTATAATTTACTAATAAACCATTCCAGGCAGTCACTGTATCTAGGTTGTGGACTGACTGAAATAATTTTAAAAGTACCATGAAATTTATATTTATTTATTTATTTATATTGTGCGTTACTGCGCTGTCGCGTGATTCTGGCAACCAAATGGGGTTGATATTATTATTGGGATTCCCCGGATCGGTGTTCGGATATTCTTTGAAGGGGGTTATAGGTAAATTGGAAATCACAAACGAATAATAATTTATTATAAAATACATATTATTATTAAATAATGATAAATAACACTCTACTACTACTCTAAGATATTATTTGAAACATTTTTGACTGGTCAATCAATAGTCGATTGACCGATCAGTTCCAACATTAACGGTTCCTTTTGATAAAAACTTTGAAGCTTTCTTTGAAAATTATTTAAAAAAAAAATTAAAAATTTAATAAAAAATTAAGATTTAAAAATAAGTGAAACATTATTTCTTTTTACTTAGTTAAAATAATCTTCATATTTCTTTGTTTAATCCATATGAAAATTATAACCTATAGTGTGTTTACTAAGGATAACAAAATACAAATTTTAGAATCATTAAAAATTAAAAAAAAACCTCCCTGGGACGTGGATTCGCAATTTATCCTTTATCTTTTTGACTAACATTTGCCACCACACTTGTTGCACAAATCCCATTTTGATTTAGTGTATCATTTTTTGGTCTTTGTTGGCAGTTGGACATTTTGGTATTCGCATTCAGCGCAAAAACTATGTATCTGCTTATCTTTTAGAATGCCAGTGAATCCGCATTAGTTGAAACGATAAATACGGATGATTTCCTTTCCGGTTTGGGCTGTGGAGGTTTATTAACAGCCAAATACAATTGCTTTTTCTATTTTGTGATACGCCAAAATTCAGATAACATCAGTCCGGAAAATTACGCCTTCGCGGGAAGTCTAGCTCTTTCCAATGTCGAAACTCCAAATTTGCAGGTAATAAAAATAATTATTTATATAAATTAAAAAAAAAATGTATTAAAACCTTTCTTATTGATATTTGCAGATCTCTAGCGTAGCAAAAGTAAGCGACGAAGAAACGTACGCAATTACACTGACTAGTGACAAAATTGCACTGTTCGTTTGGTTAGACTCCCATGCGATTAGAGGAAAATTCTCTGAAAATGGATTCTTGTTGGTAGAAGCAAATAGGACGGTTTACTTTACGAGCGAATCCGAAACAAGTGCAGATGATTTAAAGAAAGTACTTACTGTTACCAATCTTAAAGATCCAGAATATTTTAAATAATGTGATTTCTGTCTGGCTGTTTAATAAACACTTGTGGATGAATAAATGTTTGTTTTATATGTTATGTTTATGGTTAAAATAAATCAATTCTTAACACTGGATTTTCGAAAATGAAATAAAAATTTAATTAGCCTACGCCAGCGAAGGCTTATATTTTTTGGGAGACTTATTTTTTGTTCAATATGTCGGATCGGAAACTTAAGAAGATCGATTATTAAATTACGAGTTTTGAACCTATTTGTTTACTTATTGCTCTTTTCACATCTTCCTTTCATTCTGATGGCGTTATGAAACTAAATTGAAAGAAAGCAGTCACGTGTTTGCTAAATTCACCAAAATTAAAGAGGTGCGATATAGCTTTACTTCTTTTTATGGAGGCTAAATTTGTTAAAATTGGGTTAAATTTGGCTTAGCTAATAAAATACAGTATCTAAGATTCACGTAAAGGAATCTCTGCATACTCTATGCATTTTATCTTATACTTCGGGAGTCAGTCTTATACGGGGTGTTCCCAAAAAAGTGTCAAACAAACACACGCTAAAACCAAAAAATTAATTTATTAATATCTGGTATTTACCATCGAATCATATTTGAAATTCCTTATATCTGCTCAACCCATATAGCTATTACTACGGTACTAATTGATGTGCCGCAGGCGGCATTGATATTTTCATAGAGAAGGTAATAATTTTCCACCCACCCTACTAACTTGAACTTTGGTTCATTTTCTTTCTAAACAGCGATTTTCATATACTTAATTAGTCTTTCCAAGACATTTAAACAGATCTAGGCATATTTTGACAAAATACTGCGAAAATGCAGCAGTAGAGAAACAAAGGGAGTTGGAGCCGACATAACCTCACTTTTGGCATCTCGGCTGCGGCGGGAGGGGGAGGCACCCGGTGGTAGGGGGCCCCTGGTGCTTCGCCCCCCTCCCCCCCCGGACGAGTAGCCCGGCAACGCAGCGTTGGTCGTCGAATACCAAAATGGGGAGCGGGAGCGTGTTCGCATCGTCCGTCCTTTGTTAACCGGCGTGCGTCAGCGGCAAAATGTTAAAGAATGTAAATTCCAGCGCGTCCGATGAGTCCTTCGTCTCGTTTTAAACAAAGCGTTGGGACACGCGATGACTTCACCGCGCACGGCGTGTTTTTGCGCGATGAAAAACCCGTCGGCTGGGTGACATCATCGTTAAAAAAGCATTAAAGGGAAAACAATTGATCGCGCTAAAAAAAAGGCGGGTGGACGCAAGAAAATTAAAGTATCCCGAAAGCAGAAGCAGCAGCAGCGTCACCTCATTTCCTTTCGACAGGGATCGTTAAAAAAGTTCGCAACGCATTAAAGAGAAAACAATTGTTGCACCACGATAATCCGGCAACTTTACAGCGCGCAGCGTCGGAGGCTCTTCGGCCGGGCAGGGACGCCGTCAAAAAGGCGGACGGACTTAAAAAATTTAAGGTGCCCCGCATTTTTTTTTCTAATAATTCGCCACTACCGGTTTCGTTAACAAAGGACGGACGACGAGAACACGCTCCTCCTCCTCCCCACCGGTCAGTACAACCAAGACCACGTAGTAGTCTACGTCCAACATCGGAGATGGAAGGACCTCTGAAGAAGCTCGCCACTCGTGCTAGCGAAACGTTAGGAAGTAATTCCAACCGACGACGGCCTTTAAACCCGAATCAAGATAATAGCTTATCAAAGGGCCGCGAAAGCCTTAACCAATTTATCATCAAAAAGTTTGTATTGTTTTATTCTCCCCTAAATAACGTATGAATTCTAGGCCATCCTAGGTGGCACCGCTTCAATTTCGGTTGTTTTTTGGGGGCGATTCCTCGCATCTCGAACAGCGAGCGCATATCGCTTGCGAGAGGTTCTTAATGTCACCTTCACCAATTACTACTGTTTCACAGTGACATCTCGACTTGCCTTGTTCATGATTCGAGAAAATCCCTCGTGGACGTGTGTTTATCATTCTTGATTCTTGTACATAGTTAACTGAAAAACCACAATTATCTTTCCATGTTCTGTGAATTTCTAGTTCACAAATAAGGAAGAATTTGTATAACTAACCAAAACTATTCTTACTTTTCTGTGCTTTCCATCATCTATGAGGAATACGTTAGGAAGAAAATGTCTGAGTAGTTCCTTTTTAACATTCAAAATAATAATTTAAGGAAAGCTACCACCGCATTAGTGTAATTAGTTGTTCGCGGACTGCGCTGCAATGATTTGATTACATGTTAGCTAAATTTGACTGCTTCGCCAGTTTTGGGCGGGAAAAAATTGCTAAACCTTTTTATTAAGAACTCCAGTGCAAGAAAATACATCATGACAGAGAAAAGCAAAATAAATATATTAGTACAGAATATTTCAGATGCACTAAAAGCTTTGGACAATTGCAGTATCCTTGAAGAAATACCTAGTGGTGACTGGGAAGATGAAATTTTGAATGAGTTTAAAAGTATAGTTTCTGATGTGTGTACTAAACTTGATTCTCTTAAATTGGCGGTTACTAATATTTCTGAATACAGAAGTAAAAATAGTAAATTAGAGAACAGATGTATCCAAGAAGATTTAGTAGAACTGTCTGAAGGTACAAAGGGAAAGGAGACAGATGAGGCTGATGCTACACCAGATAAAATAGAAAAACCAATAATAATAAAAATTAAAAATCGAAGAGTTGTTACTGATGCCAATGAAGAGAACTCTATTGATGTAAATGATCATGAAAGACAAGCTAGAAGTGAGTCTATCACTGAAGGTGTGGAAAGTGAAGATGTGTGTAGTAGTGGTGATGATATATTAGATGTGAAACACAAAAATAAAAAGTCAAGAAAAAATAAAAAAAACCTTGACAAATCGAAAAATGGTAAAGCTAACATAGATGAGTCAAATCAGAACAACCAAAATTCTTCCGATGTGTTAGAGAGTGATATAAAGAAAACTAATCCTCCTGAAAATGACAAAGAAACTTTGATAGAAAACCAGAATGATCTCCATATTGAAAATGGAAATTTATCTATTGAATCTAACTTAATCGGCACTATTGACTGTGAGAGAGCAGAAGATAGTATGGAACCAAACAAAGATGCAAATGATTCAAATATTGGTGAAGATTCAGAAAAAAGTGCTAATTGTTTAGAAAACCATGCAGAAAACAATGAACAGAGTCAAAAAACAGATTTGGAATTTAGCAAACCCTTAATTAAGTTGGTTGATATTAAGAAATTGATGGCTCCCGGTGCTAAACCTATTTCTGCTGATTTGGATAATTCAGTTATAATTTTAACAAGCTCTGATGAGGAATTAAGGAAGGAAAGCACTAAAGACTCATCATCAAGTCTTACAAAAGATAATTCCAAGAAAACAAATCGAAAAAATTTTAAATTAGAACAAAGCACTATAGATATTGATTCTTCTGATCCTAATTGCAGAAATCATAGGACTACAAGAAGACGAAAGGATATAAAGGCAAAGTCTAGAATATTTAATGAACTTGTTGCAGAACGAACTAGACTTCGTAAGAAAAAAAGTTTGGAGCTTGGAATTACTTCTGATTCTGAAAGTGAAAGTTCTAAGAAGGTAAACAAGAAAATGAGAAACAGAAAAGTTGAAGGTGTGTAAGAAAAAAATATAGTATGCTTTTATATATTTTCTTCTTAGAAGAATTTTTATGTGATAAATTTATTGAAATTGAGTGCTATGCATTGACGAATTTTGTTTGTTTTGTTGTATTGAATTAGGTACATATTTTAGCCAAATCAACAACCACCACTAAGACAAACATTGAAGATAAAGTATTACAAAAGACTTCAATTAAAAATAATGAACTTGCAGAAGAAAGTGGTGTATCTGACCGTAGTGACAACGATAGTCTTCCTCTAATTGAGAGAGTACAAAAATCAACCAAAGATATAATCAGGAGATGCCCTCATGAAAGAGATCTAAAATTTAAAAGTAGGGTTTATATTCCTTTGCCTAAATTTAGATGTGAAGATTTACCAAATTTGTATTTGTATAAAAAGGAATTACTTAAAATAAAAAGGTTTGTATCTTTCTACAACTGCCAACAATAAAATAAATAAAAATTTTATGAGCTTAATTTAAAATAATTTAATTAATTGATACAACAATGGTTTTATATTAAATTTTGAATCTTACAGGATAACTGATATTGATTTTGCAAGTAATGGAGATTCACCACCCCTCATCAGTGTAAGTGAAAAAGTTGATAAACCTAAATCTCAAAACTGCAAAAGAAAAGTATGTGTAAAAAACAGTGAACATTTAAACAGTAACACAAGAATCTCCCAATCAGAAGAAAAGGATCTGACAGAAAAGGAAAACCAAGCATTTGTTGAGATGCCGCAAATAGTGGGTATAAAATGTTAAAGCTATCTAATTTACTTCATATTATAAAATAAAAATTATTTGTTTTAAGTTATAAAAGTTTTTTACGATAAACTCATTACTGAATTAAAATTGTATAATGTCAAAAACTCTTTAACATATCTATAAAATTAAAACTAGAATATCAATTTCTTTCCAAAATGTTTTTGAAGAAAATAACTTAAAATATTTTCTGTTGTCAGAAAAGTTACTTTAACATTGTAACTAATGTTAAATTACAAAACCATTTGTCTACAATTTTTGTTCTTTGAAAGTAATGCATATTCAGTATCACACATTAAAAAATACCCAATTATATAACTTTATTTGTATTTTTACCAGTGCTTCATTTTACACAAGGCAATTTTTCATATAGAAATTTTCACATATCCTTAAGGAGCAGCCTGTATATACTTCACCTTGAATAAAAATCGTTTCTTAGGTACAAGATGGTGACACATCTGACAATGAAAAGCAATCTAACAAAGAAAATTGCAAGTTAAACACAGGACATAATGTTGGAGACAAAAGTGAGGAAGTAAATGTTAAAGAAAAGAAAAGGAAACGAAAGGTCTGTAAGAATTATTGCCATGTACTATTGGTGAATTTTGTTTGAAATTATTTTTATAGTTTAGTTTTAATTACTTAACAACCCCACAAAAGTGATCTAAAATTTAAAACTCTATTAAGTGATGAAAGCCTTATCACATCTGAATAAATTTTACAAGTTTATATATATATATATATATATATATATATATATATATATATATATATATATATATATATATATATATATATATTTATATATATATATATATATATATATATATATATATATATATATATATATATATATATATATATATATATATATATATATATATATATATATATATATATATATATATATATATATATATATATATATATATATTGTTAGTTTTTAAAGCGGTTTTCACTAAATTCATAGCATTTTTTAAATTTAAACTCATTTGAAGCTATTGATGTGAACCAAAAATGAAAATGTAAACAAATTTGGCTTGACAATTAAAAACAAAATAAAAAATTGAATACTACTACACCACAGTGTTTTAAATTTTATGTTATTACCTTATTGCTAACTTTCTAAAAGCTTCAAAAAGTGGATAAACTGGATAAGCATAGTTAATATAAGACAAGTTTTAAAAATGTTTTTATATGAAATATTGAGCGGCTAAATTGTTTTGTCCTATGAGAACGCTATAAGAACTTGTTCTTGCAGAATGATGGGAGCTGTAGTGAAGGAGATGAAAAGACTCAAACTTCAAAGTTGAAAAAGGAAAAATTACTTACAGAAAAGTTAAATTCCAGCGATTCTGAAGGGGAAATAACTAAATCCAAAAGGAAAACAGATATGTAAGACTAAATTCTTGTTTAGTTTAGATTCCCTATTATTTTGTATTTGCTTTTAGGAAAATTAAGAAAAAAAAGATTATTTCTGATTCTGAATCTGATTGTGAAGGGATCAATACAGAGGATGCAATCAAACAATTAGACGATAATATTTCAAATGAATCTGACAAAGAGCCTCAAGCCTCAAAAAAATTAAAAAAGTAAATAAATCGCACTTTTTATTTAATACCACTTTGTTTTCTGTAACTTTTGTGTTCTACAGGAAGATCAGGAAGGTTATTTCAGATTCTGAATCAGATACTGATAAAAGTAAAAGTTCAAGTGAATCTGAGCATGAACAAACAAATAAAAATGAGCCAGAAAGGTAGGATCAAATTACGGATATTGGGTTGGTTGAAAAATAAGGTAATATATGTAATAAAATCAACTTGCTTACAGCAAAAACGCTTCCCGTCGCAGGGTAAAACGTACAAAAGAGAGCAGTAGTAGTGAGGATGAAGACAAATCTACTAGAAAGACTATACGCCGGGTAATACGGACTATTGTTAATTATCTTAAATTTCCTAATATAATTTTTAGATGTTGGATAAAGATTCTTTATCTGAAACTACAAAACAGGCTGAGGCTGATGAAAAAGAAAGAAAAATTCGTATTGCAGAAAAGCAGAAAAAGGTACATTCTATATTTCAGTTTGCACTAGTTTAAATTCTCAATTTTTTTTTATATGTATTTGAATAAGTCCAATTTACCAGTTGAATACAGCACATTCGATGTTGTTTGAAATCAGTCATGCAGTACACCAGTAACTATAGAAATAGACAACTCAGGTCTTCTCAGAAGTATTACTTTTAAACGTTAGACAGGCCTACTACCAGTATCTAATATTTCCATATTTCATCGCAAACAAGTCCAATCAAAATCCATTTTTAGCAACTTTAACTCTCGATTATTATGAATGTTTTTGGAATTTGCAGTTACTGATCTCCGAAGGTTCTGTACAAGGGTAGATACTTCTCAGAAATAAATTTCACGCATTTGCGAAAGTAATAAGGATACTTTGATAAAACTTGAACCCTTAGACAACTAAGGTGTAATATATTTTTTCAATATTTGTGATTTCGAGAACGCAAATCCGAACAAAATGAATGCATCATTTTTAGGTGAAAAAATCCAATATTGCATAAAAGTGGAGCTGAAAAAAAATGGCAATATAAATGTGTTAGTTTTCACAAAAATTTCTAAACTGTAACACGAAAGCTAGTTATAAAGTAAAATTAATTCATTATTCATTAATGTTCAAAATGTCTACTAGAAATATATTCATAAATAACTTATAAATTAATTTATCATATATATATCATCATCATCATCCCATATATAGTATCCCAGTCTGTTGATTTTAGAATCATAAGCATCAGATAAATAATTAAGACACATTGATTTAAAATAGGCCTTAAATTTTTTCCTAGTTGAAATAAAACAAATCTTGTTTCTAGTACAATGAAATATTTCAACTGAAATCAGATGCTGCCGTGGAAAAGGTCATTTTAGATTTTGATGAAAAAGAAGGCAAAGAGCTACTATGCGTTAGCAAAAAACTTGTAAAACATTTGAAACCACACCAGGTGAACGGCGTAAAATTTATGTGGGATGCTTGTTTTGAATCTCTTGAACGTGTGAAAAAAAATGAAGGATCTGGTTGTATTTTAGCTCATTGTATGGGTTTGGGAAAAACTCTGCAGGTACTCGTATATTTGGTATCGATATGTTTGGCGTGTTATGGCCAGATTTGTGTTTTAGGTAATAACGTTGTCTCACACTCTATTGACAAACAAAAAGAAAACACAAGTGGAGAAAATTATGGTAGTCTGCCCGGTAAACACTGTTCTTAATTGGAAGGCAGAATTTAAAAAATGGCTGCCTGAGGAAGAGTTCGAAATATTCGATCTTGTGTCATGTAAAACATCATCAGTAAATTATGAAAGAAGCAACATTGTGCAAGAGTGGCATGAGGATGGCGGTGTGCTCATTATTGGTTACAACATGTTTCGAAATTTAAGTAATCCCGTGTATAAAGCGATTCCAAAGAAATTAAGGCACACATTTCAGAAAGGATTGGTCGACCCGGGTAAATATAAATGGTTACATTTTTGTAACATGCAATAGATCCTATTATTTTCATTATTTTTGCTTTACATAGGATAATATTAGAGTAGGTAGTAAATTATACAAGCGGGAGTAACGGAAATAATTTCAGGGAATGTTGATGCATTAATATGTATATTATTTTTAAAGAATTTGGGCAGGAGTCTCGATGTCCCGTCAATTTTTTTTTATTTTACTCTAACATTACAGTTAATATAGAAATTCTACCTGTATCTTTATATATTAATTATGTATAAGAAATTTTGTTCCAACTTTTTTATTGGGCAACATGACTAGTAATACTTTTCTATTTTTTTTACCATTAAATATTTGTCATTAAGTTGATTTTGCACTATCTCGGAAATAGGTTTTTCCTGTTAAAACACTCCGATTATGACCACCTCTTGTGCAGGTCGAACCAAATTGGACACTTTTAAAGTTAAACTCTCCTTTCTAAAGAAGAATGGTGTCTGCAGCTCAATTTCCATAAAAAATCATAATAGTAATTTTTTTTCATTTCAGAGTTATAGTTTTTTTTTTAAATTGAATATTGAATAATAATTGAATATTCCTAAAACCTAATAGTTTATTAGTTATCAAAATAATATTTTCCACGTGCGGTGTTTGTGTATACACGTAGTTAGGAATGGACTATAGTTTTTAGTTATATTTACCCAAAAACATATTTTAATTTAGGTCCTGATCTGGTTGTATGTGATGAAGGCCACTTGCTGAAAAATGAAAAAACCAATCTAAGTATAGCAATGAATAGAATAAAAACTTCTCGAAGGATTGTGCTAACAGGAACTCCTCTTCAAAACAATCTCAAAGAATATTGGTGTATGGTGCAGTTCATAAAACCAAATCTGTTGGGGACATACAAAGAGTATTTAAATAGGTATCCAATATATTTACCGCGTGGTGACACTAATTCATTAATAATGCATCATTTCAGGTTTGTAAATCCTATTATTAATGGCCAATATACTGATTCAACTCCTCATGACATATCCATTATGAGAAAGCGATCTCATGTATTGCACAAGCTTTTGGATGGTGTCGTCCAAAGGCAGGACTATGCAGTATTGGCGCCGTATCTCCCTCCTAAGTATGAATATGTGTTATTTATAAAGTTGTCAGAAGTTCAAGCAAAACTATACATGCATTACATGAAGAATTTTGCGCAGAAAAGAATAGAGGGTTCTAGAAATACATCATTCCTCTTTACTGATTTTCAAGAGCTACAAAGGATATGCACCCATCCTAGAGTCCTTTTGGATAAGAGTGTTGAAGATAAAGACAAAAATCTCATTGTAAGTTAATTTCTTAATTAATGTAATTTCATGTTTATAAACTTTGTTTTCACCTATCAATTAGACTGATGAAGAAGATTCGGAAGGTTCTTTAAAAGATTTCATAGACGATGGCACTTCAGAAGAGGAGGAAAGCTCAGGCACTTCAACTTCTGAGAGTGGTTCTGCCTCAGACTCTGACAATTCATTAAAAAAGAACAAAAAGAAGAAAAAAAAATCTAAAGCAACGTAAGTTCAGAGAAGTCAGTGTCCTGCTTTTAAACATTTAAATTTGATGTTTGATCATTTACCGTCATTTGAGATTGCATTATTGGTTTATCTAAATTAAACCTCTGCGTTCACCTTACTTTAACTTATTAAAAATATATTGTGTAGCAGCTGCCAAGCGTATTCTAAGAGAATAAAATATCAGGTTAGCGAAACCAAGATGAATTATTTGTATTTGCTTTTTCAGTTTTGTCCTGTTGCTCTAACTCACTTTTTCTTAAGCTAAATTTTTACAAAGATGTATAAATAGCGAAATACTTGCCAGATTTGCTATTATAAAAGTAGGGACAAAAATTTTGGCTACGTTATTGATGTCTCACTCCTGGTTACTTTGATAAATATTAGTAAATAGCGCCAACGTTATTATTTAATATACGAACAAAATATGAATAACACATATGTTAATGAATTTATATTTATTAAATATAAAAGGCGTCTGACACGAGCTCAACGAGCTCAAAAGAGGGAGAATGGTGATATGTCAGACAGTGATGTAGAAATTTCTGGACCTAAAATGTGGTGGCAAGAGTTCATTGATGGCGATGAACTGAACAATCTCAATCACAGTTCAAAATTATTTTTATTGTCCAAAATATTAACTGAATGTGAGGAAATTGGTGATAAAGTGTAAGTTTGATTATTGTTAATGAACATAATTTGTTTACCTAATTTTGCAATAATTGCAGGTTAGTTTTTTCACAGTCCTTATATACTCTAAATTGTATCGAATATTTCCTACAAAAAATTGATGATGCATCCCAATCTAACGACACTGAAAAGCTTGGGGGACATGCTTCTTCTTGGTCTTTGGGTTTAGATTACTTTAGGTTAGATGGATCTTCAAGCTGTGATAACCGTGCCGCATGGTGTGATTCATTTAATAATCCCGAGAACACAAGAGCACGGTAAGCAGTTGTATTTAATCTTATATAATAAAGTGGTTACACTTTTATGGGTACTTACAAACTTAAATAAATGTATCATACATGATGACAATATATTTCGGGATATCATCCGTTGATTTGTAGAATTCCGACTGGAATCCTGCAGACGTTTCGCCAAGATCTCACTTGGCATTTTAAATGCTCGCGCTACTTATTACTTCTTATCATATTTGAGTATTAAGATATTATTTTGGAAACTTTCTTTATTGCAGATTGTTTTTGATATCAACTAAAGCCGGCGGTTTGGGAATAAATTTGGTTGCGGCTAACCGAGTAATCATTTTCGATGTTTCCTGGAATCCTTCACATGATATCCAGAGCATATATAGGGTATACAGATTTGGTCAAACCAAACCGTGTTATATTTATCGATTTGTTTGTTATGTAAGTACAGTATATTTTAGGAATTTTTGAAAGTGATCATGTAGTAAAAGTGGTGAATGTAACATAACATTTTTGCTATTCCAATTGCTTTTGTTGCTTTGATTTATATAACCACCAGCGCTAGGTACATCATCCCACAAATTAGGAATTTTTTTCTGTTAGGGTGCGATGGAGATGAAAATATATGAAAGACAAGTTACAAAACAGGCTATTTCAAAAAGAGTGATAGATGAACAGCAAATCGACAGGCATTACAGTCAAAATGATATAATGGAGTTGTACAAGTAAGCAGCAATGTAATTTTAAGCATAGTTTATCAGACACTCAGCTATGTAACTCTAGATCATACCCGATTTCAAGCACCGCTAGATAGAATTTAAGCTTCAGAGGATACAATAATCGTAAATATTGAAAATTTGATCCCTTTGATATATTATGTAGAAATAGACAGCTGTTAAGTAGATTAACCTTGATGCTTATTTACTCCGGAACTATTATGAAAGGTTTTTTTTTTTTTTTTGAATCAAACTCTACAGTTTACTTTCTTTTGTTATTGGCAGATTTAATCGAGAAATTCGCCATAACAATATTTCTCAAAATTTTCTAAAAATGCAGTTATCACTAACAGGAAAACCTGAAAATTTTTTGACTGTATAAATATTTTTGGTCTTTTTTTATGTTGTACTTTTTCTAAAATGTTAACTCGTCGATAAAACAAACAAATTTACATAAAAAAATGCTTTTTAGTTAAGTCAAAAAAAGTGTTTTTCCATGGTCAAATTCTTCTTAAGGGAGATGTTAAAAATTTCCTATCGCAATTGCAGTTAATAAATTCGATGTTTTAATTAGAACAATTCATCCACAACACTTTTTTATCGTTTTGATATAACCCTTGTAGGGTAGATTTGGATCCGAAAGACAGACCAATCCCTTTGGTTCCAAAAGATGTACTGTTAGGAGAATTACTCCAAAATCACGAAAACATATTGTTTAAATACCATGAACATCAGTCCTTATTGGAAAATAAAGAAGAGGAATGTCTGAATGAAGAAGAACGCAAAGCTGCCTGGGAAGAGTTTGAAAATGAAAAAGTAATGCGGAAAAATACAGTTACCAATTTCGGCGGCATAACTGGCATGCAGGCGTTCAATAATACTTTGGCTTACTCGCCTCAGATTATTCAGGTGGCTTTGGCTAACATCGTTCGTAAAGATAATCCGACCTGGTCTGAAATCCAAATTAAGGGAATACTGCCGGCACTTGTGCAGCAGTTGCAGGTAAATACATTTAATGCTTATTTTCTTGCTGATACAGTGTATAAAGTTATTACTCTATTATTACTTCTGGAAACTACTAATGTGATCTAAATTTCAACTTTTTCCAATCTTTTGCTAATTCATACATTAAAAAATTTGTCTGTTTCAAAATATTTTGCTGATCTGGATGTTCCTTTTTCTGTTTCATTAATCAACAAATCGGGTTAAAACAACATTTTTTAAAAAATTTAGGTTCTTCGTTTTAAAAAGACTGGCAAGAATTTTTTCACAATTTTTCTTTTTTACCTTAAAAAATGTTTTTTTTTTTTAAATCTTGTGACTGACATTTAAGATATTTAGTATTTCATTAATTGGTTTAGTATTAACACCAACTTTGTTACAAGGGCATTCTGTACTACATGATTTATTATTCTTATGGTACAAATCAATTTGGTTTGATTAACTTAACTCTAATAAAATTGGGTTTTTCAGACTAATGTAATATACAGGGTTATTCACGTTGAGTGTCCTATTTATTAGACGGTTATGATAATGACTTACCGTAAAAACCTGAAATGTTGGTTACTTATGTAAACTAATATGAGCTACCTATGTAAAAAAATATTTTGGGCCATGCAGTGTTGCCAGATATACTCGTAACGTATATTAACTTTCGTTTTTTAAATATATGTATATTACTACATTTTTTTGGATTCTGCAAAATATTCGGAGATAAAAAATGCTTTTTAAGAAATTTGGCGACAAACGATAAGATATAAAATAATAATTTTTTGCGCATCCCGTCCAGCTAAATTTTTGGTTGAGGTTCCCTATTAAATTGCTTTATCATAATATACTATGAGAATTAACTTATCCTGTACAGGGCTTTCATAAGATAAGGCCCAATTGGCAAGACATAAAAATACGAGGTTAACGCCAAAACTTTTTCTTTTAATTATATATCTTAGTAGGCTTCGAAAGAAAAATTGAAGTCTTGCGTCAAATAGTTTTTATTGACAGCATTTTAAACAAGACGTGTTCGATAAAATGTCGCACATAACGCAAATTGAGTATAGAGCAGTCATAAAGTTTTTGACAAAAGAAGGGTTAGCACCTAAAATTATTAAAGAAAGGCTGGATGGTGTGTACGGCCAAAGTTCTCCTTCGTAGTCTGTAGTGAAAGAATGGGCAAAACATTTTCGAATTGGACAGAAGTCCCTTGAAGATGATTCAAGAACTGGTCGACCAGTGGAGGTCATAACAGAAGATATTGTTGCATTTGTGGAAGAGGTGGTATTGAGTGATCAACGTTTAAAGTTCAAGGAAATCTCAGAAATTACTAAGCTTTCTGAGACAAGTGTTCGTCGAATCCTGCATGATCATTTAGGTATACATAAGGTTAGTACAAGATGGGTTCCTAAAAACTTTTCGGCTATTCAAAAACAACGCCGTGTCGAGTGTGCGCGGTCTTTTTTGGAACTCTGTTGGTCGGAACCGAAGCCTGTGATAGGAAGAAATGTGACGGGAGATGAAACTATGGTTCTCTATTATGACCCTCTATCGAATAAAGAATCAATTGAGTGGCGTCGTAAGGATGAAGCACCTCCAAAAAAATTCTGCCAGTCAACAAAAAAGGTGATGGCCATGATCTTTTGGGATTGTGAATTAATTCTTTTGATAGATTTTAAAGAAACTCATACCACTGTCAATGGTAAATATTACGCAACTTTATTACATAAATTGCGAGACTGCATACGTGTAAAACGTCGAGGAAAACTGACCAGAGGCGTGCGTCTTTTGAACGGTAATGCACCTGTCCATACTGCTGGTGTTGCACAAGCTGCCATTTTAAAGTGTGGGTTCCAACAGATAGATCATCCTCCCTATAGTTCAGATATGACCCCCAGCGACTATTATTTGTTTGGATATTTGAAAAAGGACTTAGTTGGATGGCGGTTTAACGACGAAGTTGAGTTAAAAGGGGGTGTTTTAGCTCATTTTGCAGACAAACCAAAAGAATATTTTTTTAAAGGTCTTGAGTTGTTAATAAAGAGATGTAATAACTGTATTGAAGTTAAGGGGTATTATATTGAAAAATAATAAAAAAATGTTACTCTACTATGTTTTTTTCATATTCAGGCCGGGAAATTTTGGTGCTGCCCTCGTACCTCATATTCGGCTACTAAACTAACCAACATTTCAGGTTTTTACCGTATAACCCGGTATAAAATATTACTTCTGTTTAAAACATCAACTTGCTGGAGTGTAGTGAATGAGAGATATTTGGAAATTTGATTTTATTTATTTGTAGATGCAGTTAACAGCACAAGACTATACAATGTACAACCGCGTGCAACAAGAAATCAAGCTAATGCAGGCAGTGCAAGCTCAACGTATGCGAGAACAATATTTCCAGCATCAAATACAGCAAATGATTCAAAAGCAGCAGCTGCAAAATCAAATGTTGGGCAATTTAAACGTCGATCCGTCGATTCTCTCAAGACAAGTACAAGGTGGCGGCTCCTCCCATAGTAATATTCGTCCGGTACAAAATCCAGTCGGAAGACCTCAAAGATCTACAGCTAAGGCAGATCATGTAATCGAGTTAAATGACTGACAGTAAGGAACTATTTTAGATAGGAACTTAGGATTACCTTGAGAATATCTACTTAATAGCATCAATGGTTTGGTGTGTAATACCATTTACAAATGTTCTGTATCCCTCCTGCGTTGGTTGCTTTTGAATCGAACTTGCTGACTTTTCACCTGTTGGTTTCTTCAAAGTTAAACTGATACTGTTTCAGTTCAAGTTCAACCCACTCAGGTGGAATCCAGAAGTATTTTATAGTATTGCTGGTTTAAATTCTCATCTAAAAAGTGTCTATTTAGCATTTACTCTTTCTTGAACCACAGTAAATCGGGTAAAACAAAATAGTCACGCTGGCAACATTAATTTCACATTTTAGACCCACATAAATTACATTCTCACATTTAAAAATTTATTAATATTCCCTTAGAACTTTCTTAGATATGTCATATGGTCAATCCACCTCTTCAAGTTCAAGATTTAAAAATAACAAAATAAAAAGTATAATTGTTTCCGAAAAACTTTGGAAATGGAAACTAAATTATTTTGCCTTATTTATATGAAGTAGCAATTCTCAAGATTGTGTATATAATTCATTAGTCTGTGTTGTACACCAAGCGAATATATTATATTTTTTCTTATTGTTTTTTACTTTTGTGCGTTTTTTAATTTATATGTTGTAAATAGATCTTTTGTGCTCTGATCAAATGCATTTTAAAATAAATAAATGTTTTTGTGATATCCTAGATGCGAATTAGTTACTTTAAATATTAATATTTTTTTTCGCTATCCACGCAAGCAGCAAGGTAATTTTATACAAAAACAAGTATGATTTGGTCCTATCATTAAACTGTGGCATATAGAACTGCCGCCTGAAATTGGGCCTAAATAATACTTTTGCTATAACATGCCTTAAATTTCAGAAAAATTAATCTCACAGACATGCAACTAAAATTAACTTCCTTGAAATACAACCACAAAAGCATAATACCAAAAATGAACTTTCTAACCTGATTATCCAAATTTAAAGAAGTCACAACGTAAAAAGTACAACAGCAAAGTGGGCCGAGATTGTAGAATATTGAATATGAAATGGCAATCACCGCTGATCATTCTTGAAATAAGATCTTAAAAATAATGAATTGACTAGGTCCTTTATTATGAGCCCCTTTAATCATCAATTTCTTTTACCAGTATTTGAAATTTTTTTTGGTGAGAGGGACTATCGCAAAACTTACTTTCCTGAAGCTTTAGGGTTTGGAGTTATGCTAAAGTTCATTTGTGAAGGAAATTTTAAATCAAGTTTTGTGCATAGTGGAATTATTTGTGTATTAATTGATTAAAACATTTTATTACAAGAAGTTAACAAACACTATCTTTTTGAAGCTTCTTTCGTCTTGTAATCCTCAAGCATTCCACACTATCTTTTTGAAGCTTCTTTCATCTTGTAATCCTCAAGCATTGAAGAAGCTTCCATTCTATCTGCTGCAATTCTGTGAATATTTGCGAGAAGATCTGGATAAGGACTTATTGCTTTAACAAAGTCCTTCTGGTCAAGCCTATACAATTCAGATACCTCTACTGCAATGACAGAAGCGGTGCGCAATACTCCTTTAATAATCAGTGCCACTTCGCCAACATGAGAACCTTCTTCCAAATGGCAAATCTGGAATAATATTTTTTTATGAAGTACATCTAAGTCGATTTTTCTAGTACTAGAATTCTTACCTCTGTACCGGATTTTGAATAGATAGCAACTGTGCCGGTCGAAATAAAATACATATTAGTTCCAGGGGTATTTGCTCTTATAATAACATCATTAACCAGATATACTTCTATCCTCAAACAGGAAATGATGCGCACCAAAAGATTTAGTGGTAGATTTCGAAAAAAAATGACACTTTCAACTAATTTGCGGCAGGCGTGCATATTTATTTCCTAAAGTTTTTATGGAAAATATTAAAATATTGCATAATCAAAGCATTGTGAACTCTTCCTTGAATTAAATCGATGGCGTTTTATTTTGTATTATTTCAAATTTTACTAATCTTACAATCTTGTCGCACTAGATATTTCCTAACATTTTAGCGAATGTCCTACGTAATTAATGAAAATGAATTCCTGATCTTAAAGTCAATTCGATATGCTATTTTAAAATTAGGAGCCAATGCCTTAGTTTTACAATTATCAAAAAAATGTTTTTATGGGTCAATGGTGGACATTTTAGTTTAGTTATAAGGAAATGAATGAAAAGTTGCTCGTACTTTTAACGAAGAATAAGATTGAATCAAGAAAGTTTTGGTGTTCCACTTGAAGTTTTTAATTTGTAACTTTTTTTCAATATTTTTTACATGCTGTAGAAGAAATTAATCTCCGTTCGGATCAAATTGTTTGCAGTTTGGCGAGAGATGTCTGCGAATCTTAATCTATAACCATGTAATGTAACCCATTCTCAAAAAGGATAACACCGAGAATATGGTGCAGTGCATGATTAGTCAAAAAACGTTACTTGTCTAAGCTGTTCTGATATAGTTCCCAATATCTTATTTTCATGAAAGTAGCTCTTGTGAAAACGGAATTCATGATAGGTTAAAATTCTTCTTCTCATTTGAGTTGGTAGCTGTTTATGACGCATGTAGTCCATGAGTTGCCTCTCAATTTTTACATACTTGTGGGATGCTGATTGTTTACCGTGCATAATCTCCATAATCAAAGCTAAAAATGATTTTGCCAATGCAATATTAAAATTTGACAAGAATAATTAAATATTAGTTACCTAAAATGTATATAAAAAATAGACTTGATGCATACCAGCCAAACCAAATTAACAAAATTTCTTTTTCCGTCGAGGGCAAGGTCCTTCCGTAACTGGAGTTATATATTATGAGGGAACCTCTATAAAAAGCGCTTATGAATGCCGTTAGCACTGGATTTCTCTGATGACTTTCGTCTCTAGAAAGCGTGCAGGCCTTTCTTAGGTTTGTAGTTATAAAATTAAAATTTTCCCATGTTTTCCAGGCCAATATTATTTGACTTTTAAATAATTGTCATTTTTAAGTAATCACGTAAAGCCGACAATGAAGAAAGAAAACATTATTTGCATGAATGTTGAACTGAAAACTAAATTTTAAACGTCCACAATAAAATTTGGCATGGGTGCCAAAAAAAAGAGTCACTCAAAGCTTCTCCCCCAACGTTTCTTTATTCTTCCCAAGCATTTGAGAAACTACGGCGGACCTAAACTTAACGCAACAACGTGCTAGCCAAAACCGAGCCTTTTTGTTCGATGGCAGTTGGATGGAATACAAAGACAGACCAGTTACGTGAAAGTAAAAAACTGAATGTTTTATATTTCGAAGACCCATATTTTACACACCAATTCTTGAGTTTCTGCTTTAAAAAAAATGGTCTCCCTGGTTAGTCGTCAATAAGCAAAATATGGGTTTAGTTAGTTTTTGTGACTTTAAACAAAAAAAAGTTATCAAAAACGAATCGTAAAGACTTTTGACTTTTAACTGTTCTTAAATGCAACACACAAATTGAAGTCGAATCGAAGCTTCCTTTATCCGTTTGCTTTATAACAAATTCCTCAAAAGTGGAAAATTTAAAAAAAAAACGAATTCTGTGAAATACGTTAATATTTAACTTACTCCAGAACTCTATAAAATGTTTTCACAGACGGTTCAAAAATATCATTCACTTCGGCGCCCAAATAACGCCTTAAGAATGTTAACATACAACATGTCGAATGCCAAAATAACATTATTAGTGCCATCACCAATGTAATCATATATGTATAATAATTGATGCCCAAAATCTGAAAGAAAAAAAATTCGAAAATAAAAATGTTTTGCGAAATAAAGTGCGCCAAACGTTTTCCCGCACACAAAATAATGTTCACCGGGTTATCACACTAAAGATACAAAGTTGAAATTTTGAAATAAACAAAATACACATCCCTAAAATATTTTGAGAACATTTTGATTTTGAAAACTTTTTCTTGTTTGTTTGAAACCATTAACATGTAATTTTTGCTTCTTCGCAATAATACCGCAATACCGAATTGTTTATCCAGGATTTAAAACTATTATCAAATTTAGTTTTTTTTATGTAAACAAATTAATAAATTAATAAAATATATTTGAATTTTACAGATGTGCGTTCTTTTGTGTGTGGAAAATGTTTTCTATACACTTTTAATAATATAAAAATGTGCATACCTCGGCAGATATTTTTAAATATTTATAAAATCTTACTACCATCAAATACTTTAACATTGACACTGCTTGAAAAATAAACACTGCTCTCGCACCAGCGTTGAAAACGAAATCTAAATGGTTTGGTAGACACGCAATTACATCTATTATTAAGAATGTTTTAACATAATTTCTGAAAAATGATACTTTAGCTATGATGTTTTTTAAATATTTGTCGGAAAACACACTTGGCTATGCGCTTCAAACTGAGAACAACCTCCTGATTTGGTTCATCGTAATAACCAGTCCAAAAGTTAGCTATCAAGTGAATAAGGAAAAAGATATTTGGTATCCACGTTACTATCTTCCACTGAACGCTATATATAAAAGTCTTCTTCATATCATAAAGCAAGAAATCTACAGGCGTAATAATAAGTTCAATGAATATAATCACAATCATTACTAGAGACCAATATAGACTAAAACCCAATTTCACAAGATCATTGTTAAATTGTCACTTATTAGATTAGTTACGATGCTTTACTAAAAGGGTGTATTCTCCATCTGTAATATAGAATTTGTCTTTCTCGCTCTTTGACAATAGCTCCAAAGCTCCTTAAATGATGGGTATAAAGTTTGCTCGAATCTGATACGACGCACATTCGAATCAACATTTTACGAATTTTTTTCCAGAGACCACGACCGGGAATATCCGGGTATTCTTGTGGTAAATCTTCCAAAGTGCATTCATGACCATATTTTGCAAACTAAAATATTTTTCAAATCCGATCTAGGTATTTACTGCACTAATAATATACTCACCAGAAGTGTAGTATTTTTTTGCATTTTATCCATAGAATTCTAATTAAATTTAATTACTAAAATATGAGAACAATTTTAAACCGTTAAGTAATCTGAATAGTGTCAGGATAATCAATATGACATGTATTTCAAATCCTGTAAAAATACTAAGAAAACTTACACAAAAGTTGTTCCGATTCACATATACTTCAAAATTATTATTTTTAACAACTTTGTTATTTTAAATATAACGTTCTATAGACCTTGCATTCCTCGGAAAATTCTAGACATATCAAAGTCTTACCGTTTTTGATATATTTTGAACTTTGTCAAAAGTGACATTTTAAAATAAAGACAAGAAAAAGTTTTTCCCTTGTAAAAATGCTATACGCGTATTAATTGACCAAAAGGTGACCGCGCAAAATCACAGGAAAAAGAACAATACAGGACTATAGGAATGGCACTATTATTGACAATATTTGCTAACACAACACTTATTTAAAAACCAACCAACAAGAAACAGCGTTAGACGAACAATAGAAACATTTAAAAATTTTAGAATCGTTAGAATTAGGCAATTAATAGAACCGTTTTATAAAAAAATCTCATTTTTATTTAAATGCATTTTTACGAAAAGTCATAACTGTTTGTCAACGAAGGTATTATATTAGAAAAACGGACACCTTTTTTCCATGACCTACTCATAAACAAAAACATATTTTTGAAGCGCTTATAACAAAATCCACAATTTAGTTTATATATCAAAATTTGTAAGTTACAGAAGAAAACTACGCCAGTGTATCCTATTTAAAAAAAAACTCTATCTAAACCAGTTTTCACCTTTTCGATAAGTTACCGGATAAGTGAGCTACAAAGGATGTCTAAAAATTGAAAATTTTTCAAAATCATCTTGTATCTAGAATGCAAGATAGCTATGACGTTTCTGTTTGTGTGATATTTTATATCACATAAAAAAGCGGTCATGGGTCACTGAAGTCGCAACACGCTAAGTTACGAAATATTAACAATAAAAAATATTTTGGCATTATAAAAAGACTTCAATGTCACTTTTAGTCCTGCTGTTATTATGATTATAAGAAAAATATATTTCAATATATTTTCTTTTTTTTAAGAAAAAAAAAACAATTGAGAACACAGGTAAATAAAACAAATTAAAAAGATAGTTTATTATATGTAGCATTTAAATAAAAATGAAATCAGGGATACCAATATTGTTTCCTTTTAACATTATGATAAATTCGGCGTTTGAGTAGGCAACTGGAATGTAAAGCTGCGAGCTCATAATGGTATTCGAAAAGATTTACAAACGGGTGACTAAAATACGGGAAACATCTGTGGCTCACGACCGTGAATAACGAAGCTGACGCTTTCATTAAACTAACACTTTCCGTACGCTTGATCCGTGCATAATTGGGTATTTTAGAATCGGGAGGCGAAAATAGATATTATTCTACTATAAAAAAAATGCATGGAACTTGTTTCGATGAGTACAATTGGCGTCAGTGCAACAGTAGATTTATTCTCTCTGTTTACCGATTTTGTCGTAGTCAGGCAGACACACACACACTATATATATATATATATATATATATATATATATATATATATATATATATATATATATATATATATATATATATATATATATATATATATATATATATATATATATATATATATACATATGTTTCTGTGTTTTTTTAGCAGATAAAAATTTCGGTTAAAATTTTAACAGCAATTTTTTCGAACAAAATGGGCTTGATCATTTTGGTGGAATTTTGTTTTTTTGATTTTGATCCAATAAACGATACTTTTCCTTGTGGGTGTATAAGGCAAAATCCATAATCCCAAAATCAAAAGGAAAGAAATTATATTAGTTTATGTATTTTCTAAAACTAATTTCTCTGCAAATCTTTTATATTTAGGATCATTCTATGTTTCATATTGAAATACAGTTTTTGTTTTGTAATAGTTCTTAATTTTCCTGATTTAATTTTAGAATACCCACAGGTTTAAATTGGTATTCTTAATAATCACATTTGAAAGGCGAAACTTTCGTCTTTAATTACCTTGTTTCTATCTCTTCTCTGCCTATAGAAGGTTCTACAGTTACTTCTTGAATATTTTTTCCCTTTAGATTAAACAAAGATGTCTCCGGAATCTGTAATCGACACAACATGGGGAACCGTTGATGGCCAGATGATCCTAGCTAAGTGACCTAATCGTAGTAAAAGAAGAAAAATACCCCTAAAGAGACCACAATGAAAACATGTATTTGTTTGTTTTGTTTTGGTGGATATTTAGATAATTAATTATATATATATGTTTTACTAAAAAATTAGTGTGATGAAAATTATAAATATGAAACGAACGGAGCCAGAATTACCTTTTGCCTTTACCATAAAGTTTAAAGTGTAATCAATAAAAGGTTTAAACCTGTTGCTAAACTTTGTGAATTTTACTTTATAATTTGCAATCTGATTTACTAAAAGCAGGAAAACGTTTTTGCAAAATGGCAGAATTTGCGTTGACTGTGAATCTTGTTCTGGAAGATGAAGAAAAAACTATGTCTGTGCCCTGTTTAAATATAACCACTGCAGAAGATGTCTGCATGCATGTGTGCAAATACTTGAATATCACCACTATAGCTAGACATTTATTTGCTTTGAGAATAACAGGGGAACAGTTATTTCTCATGCCATCAGCCATCATTAAAGAAGAAAATGTTACTACTGTTGACTTGAGAATACGTTTCAAAGTCGCAAGCATTACCAAGCTAAAGAAAATTGATGTAAATGCTTACAATTATTATTTTCAACAAGCACGCAAAGATGTCTTAGACAATAAGATACCAGATCTTGTTTATGATAGGTTTAAAGAAGAATTAGTTGGATTAGGTATTACTGATATGTTCCGGGTGATGTTAGAAAAAAAGATATCCAGAGAAACTGTTGAAAATGACTATAAGAAATATATTCCTAAAGAAATTTTAAAGAAACACATATTTTTTATTAAGAAGCTTATCCACACAAACCTTGGGAGGCTGTCAAAAAGTGTCACAGATGCTTCGTAAGTATTTAGATAGTTTTGCGGGAGTTATAGTAGACCCCATTAAGAGAAATTTACTTTTAATGTAGGGTTTTTTTTTCTTTTTTCTTTTACACATGACTGTGAAAAGTCATTATTTAGAATTTAAAATCATTGATTTCATTTATACAACTAGCTTGCCATTTTTTAGTGACTTTCATTTTTTAAACCAAAACCAAGGCAGAAGTCGGCAGAAAGGAGGACATATGAAAGCATTGAAAGCTTAGACAAAGTAGCAAATCTTATTTCCATTGTAGCAAGGTGCAGAAATTAAAAACAAATGTTTCTATTCAATACTTTACAATTTACATATTGACTGCAGTACTTTAAATATAATAGAAATAAAGGCAATTAATTTATTGAATCCAGAGGATACTAGACTGAATGTTCCAGTTTGCGGTGTTGTTTTTGATAACCAGATAAGCTTATAGAAATAAACATCCAGAATTAGTGTTGGGCTCTGCTGGCTTTATTATATCAAAACCCAGTACTAAAGAAAAAACTGGTCAGATTAGTCTCATATCACTATCCAAAAGCACGAATAGATATCTATATGTTATATTAAGCTCTTAATATCACCTAGGCTCAGGAAATTGAATGGAGCTGAGATATATAGTTTGAAGAAACAAAGGCATATTAACTTAACTTTATTAAAATGAAAATTTAGTTTGAATACTGGGTTTACAGCCATAACTAATACAAAGTTGTAAAAGGTAGCATAATCAACATATCTGCTGGTTATGTTAAGGAGGTTAGCTAAATGCGCGTTCGGAACGTTCTATTGTTAGGAGTAGGAGTCATCAAAAATTTTCGAAAAGGATTTTACTTAGAATTCTGCAATTTCATATATAACGAAGAATTTTAAAATATGTTTTTTAGATACAGGGTTATTCACGCTATACCGCAAGGTATGTCATGGCCAAAATACTAGGTTTTCAAAAAGTTTTACTTTTGAGATATGTGATTACAGTTACTTTTTAAAATTACTTTCATACTACACAAGTTGTCCCAAAAATTTAAAAAGTATCGAAGTCGTACTTTTTAAAAATGAAACCCCTTGTGTATTCTAAGGTCAAAATATGTTCAATAATGTTTATGATTCCTAGGCCTTTAAATAAATACATAAGAAAAATTATTGATTAATTTAAATGGAACGCCAAATTGTTTAACTAATCAGAAATATGGTTTTTTAATTACCTATGGAATGGTTTAAGGTGTCGTATAACTCTTCGCGTTTCCGGAGAACTCTGGAACTTGCCTTTTCTTATCTAAATAAATGTTTTATTGTATCTAGTTGCCTATGGTATTTAGAAGTGACAGCTGATTTATTCAGGTATTCAATTGGTTCTGGTTTTGATGTAAGGTCGGTTTATTTGATGGTCTTTGAATTTAGATATTTTGTCACGTGACTTGACATTGGTGCAAATTCTATTAAGACAACTTGTGGTAAGAACCAGGTAATAGGTAATAAAAGTTACAAGTTATAAGAATTTCAAAAAATTTATGAAACATGGAAAAGTAATTTATTATCCAGCGTATGACGATAACTAACCAAAGGTAAAAGTAAAATTAAAAAATACATGTATTTATAATAAAATATTCGTGTTGTCGGCCTTCTATTTACAGACTCTTACATATTCTTTTCTTGAAACTATTGCACAACATTTGTGGGGTTACAGTATTAAATATACGCATTTTCATATTTTCTTGGTGGTGGTTGGAAATTGAAATAAAAAGTTTTGTGGTGTTAAGCCTGTAGATCGGAAGGGGGTGGGGGAACAACTCGCTTCTTTCAATCCACCTGTTTCTACTTGTTTAAGTACACATCGTTGTTCTTACATAAAGGAAGTTTATATTACAAAAAATAAGCGAAATAAGACAAAACTGAAAGCCAAATTCCATCAGCCACTTTTCTTTAGATCTGATTTTTTTTATCATAAAAAAAATGGTCTAGTGTTACACTCTAATGATGATATAATTTAAATGTGTCTTATGTATTTGACAAATTAAAATTCGATTACATTAGATTACAATTAGGAACGTGTTAGAAAGACTTAAACTTTAGGTATCGCTTATTTGAATCGTAGAATCCAAAAATACTATAATATAAAGGGTTTTTCATTTTAAAAGTTTTTACTTTTAACGCTTATGGGACACAATCTGTATAGTATGAGAACAATTTTAATAAGGATAATAGGACTCGCATATCCCAGAAGTAAAACTTTTTGAAAACCTTTTTTTTTTTAATTACACTTTATTTGACTTCATTTGACCTGCTTTGTAGGGCAATTTGGTCAGCTTACAACCAGGTTTTAAACTTTTTAAACAAATTGTGTGAATAACCCTGAATAAATTATTAAATTATTAGCTAATATGAGCGTCTCAAATGATTCTGTTCCGTTTTTAAGAAATAGTTTTTCATCCACCAAATTATGTTGTTTGTATTACAAAAAATTTTCATTAAATTCCAGTTCTTAATGTAATTGCAACTATAAATTTGTTGTTTAAAACTGATCCAAAAACTCTTTTAGGTATGTTATGGCAGAATATGTAAAACAATTGGATCTAATTGCACCAGAATATTTATCGGAAGTGTATAAGGCACAAATTGATCAGGACGGATCCCTTAGGAATATTCTTGTCAAAGTTTCGCCTTCTTCGAATATCACCTATTGCTCAGAATCAAAACGAGATGTAAGAAAATGAAGCCTTCCAATTTATTTGTAAATCAGTTCTTACAGGAATGGAAACTGATCTGTACCATAGAGGAGTTGGGTTTTATTTCAATTAGAAACAATGGTGCTATAGAAATAAGTCGAAAAAATGGAATTCCTTTTTACTTAAAGTTTCGCAAAGACGATAGAGATACCCGTGCATTTATAAGCTTGCTTGATGGATATTATAGGCTTACATGCAAGTGGACGTTTAACATTTGCAAGGAAGTCATCACGCCTTCGTTGAAAAAGTTACAACAAATGAAATGTCATGGGCCTGTTGGGTAAATAATTTTTTTTTTCAGTAGACAATCTAGAGATTATTATTTTTTAGAGGTGAGTTTTCATATGCTAAATTAGAAGACAAACGGGCAAACAGAACAGGCTGTTTTATTATAAGAGAGAGCGAAACTAACTATAATACTTACTACATCGACGTTTGTGTGAAAGACAGGTAAAATTTTACTATATTATATCTTGTTATTTTTTACTCTTATCCCCCAAAAAATAACCTTTTATTATTTGTATTGCAAATTTCAATTCCTAATGTGTTGATATTGTAATTTGATGTTGTTTGGGTTTTTTTTTTTACTTACTCTTGTCCCTATTTAACATTTTTTTGATTCCACTCTATGTGTTCTAGAACTTATACCCAAACTAGTTACCAATTAGTAAACTTTGTTGTATTGTAGTATTAAACCAAAAACGTATAAAGTCGAGAAGATTAAGGACGAATTTATTTTCAATGGAGACATAACAAGGTACAAAACAATTCAGCAATTGATAAAAGCATATAGTGATCCAGAGGGAGCTATTTTTCTCCAGGAATGCCTTCCGCCTTCCGAATATGGCATGTATTAATAATTCTATTTGTATTGATTTATTTAATTGTATATTACAATTACAGATTTATCACAAGTGCTGCTATGTAGAAGTGATAGTTTAGTTGGTGATTCTATAGCTGACACTTCCCAAATCAGCGAGCTACCATCTACGCCTGTTTGTATTAATTTTAAAGATTTACAAGTTTACAAGGGTAAGACTATTTACCATATTATTTCTTATTTAAAATGCCTAGGTGCCAAAAACTGTTACATGACATATTTTTCACTGTTGTTTGAAATACATCACGTAAAAATCAATGTCTAGGGCAATATAAATGTAAACACCATCACAAAACAGGTCATCGGTTTTTATTTAGTAATACCATAAAAGAGTAGACTCTTGTGTTTTTCTCATTATTGAGGTTAAAACAAACAATTTGAATAAAATTCCAAGACAATCATAGGATTGCAGACAATCTACTAAAATTACTAAATATTTAAACAACATAACTGCAACACAGGTTTCTGGCCGTCTTGAATTTGATTCTGTCATGCTTGTAGGGAATAAACCCATTTTTATGCCTATAAATAAACTCCTGAATGAAAATTGAATCGAGTGCATATTTTTTATATTTCAATTCATTATAAAAGATTTATTTCAGTTTGAGTACACAAATCTATATTAAATAAATAATGGTTAGTGTTTTGGAGTAATTATACAAGTCACAATTTGTTTTACTTCTATTGTTTTTAGAATGTGAGTCAATGTTTATTCGTAATTAACAAAATTGATCTACTTTTTTGCCAACATATTCAAAACATTTCTCGTATCTATGGAAACTAGCCTATTTGTTGACAAAAGTGACTCATGTTCTCACTAAAATTATTATATTTTCTGCCCTTTATCAAAAGCTGCTTAGCTCAAATTGCTCCAGGAAATCTTACTGACCTGACAATTTGTAAAATAAGCCATGTGGGTATAGAGTATACAGGCTTTATTTCAAAAACTGAATCAAATGTGCGCTGCCAATCGTGGGACTCAAGTGAACCGCATAAAGTTAGTCAAGATTTAATCGACAACATGTTTCCATTTGGATCTAAAAAATCTTCTAGAAACTATTGCAGAAATCCTGACAAGCGACCCACCGGGCCTTGGTGTTATACAATGAATAATGATTTGATCTATGAATCGTGCGCTATACCACTGTGTTCCTTTTCCCAATGCAGAATTACTGGTCCAGGTATAGAATACGGAGGAACACAAAGTAAAGGTTTTTCTGGTAGGTACAATTAGATCGTTTTTTGGCGGCCACAATATATTTTATGAACATTTCTATATTTTGTTTCTTTTCTACATACTTATTTACACTAATCGAATTAGGACGAAAATGTCTTAAATGGGATAAAAGCCGCAAAAAAGTGTTTGTTGACGGGAATTTCACTACATTTGCGAAGTTCGATAATCAGTTATTCCCTGAAGGGAGCGTTTCAAAAGCAAAAAGGTACTGCCGTAATCCCGATGGCCAGATTGGAGGGCCTTGGTGTTTTATAGAAAATGAAGAGAGTGATTATACAGAGAAGGAGTATTGTGATATTCCATTTTGCCAAGAACCGGAGTGTATGGTATATACCAAGAATTACGATACTTATATGCACTATACTGACTTTAACGGTATGATATTTTAATATTTTTTGAATGGTAAAAAAAATTGCTATTTATACATTTTTTGCAATTTTATTACAATATTAATTGAAACATGTTTTTTTCATTATGTAGGGTCATAATATTTCTACCAACTAACAATTTGAATCGTTTAGAATATTTATTTTAGGTAGCACTTTTACAAATTTAACCTTCGGTCTTAGACTTTGGGATTCCGATAATATTAATAATGCCAGTGCCAGATTGGTGCTAAGTGTGCTTGCTTTACCGGTAACTGGCAAAGAGTTGCATCATTTGGGAATAGGAATTGAGGTATACATTTCAAATAATGTGTCATCTTTAAGGTGATTTGATAATTTAGGAAAAACAAGAATATATATGTATATTATTTAGGTATGGTAATAATGACAAGCCAGAATTTGAAGAAACTCCAGCTATTATAAAATCAACGAATTTTACGACTTTTTCTTTAAGTTGGCATAGAGGTTTTATAACCCTTAGTCTGGAAGGTGAAGTCAAACCCATATTTTTAGCGGAAATGAAAACTAAACACAACCTTGTGGGTTTTGAGAAAGACAAATTTAGTTTTTATTCTGCTCAGGGTACTAATCTGATTTGGAATTTTCCGTTTTGTATGGACGAATGTGATATCCAAACTACAACTGGCGAACAGTTTCAACAGTTTTGGCCACTAAGAGAAAAAGATTTAGGTTTGGTGTTATTTTAATACCACAATAATACTATTCTAGATGAATTTGAACTACTGCACTTAAACATAATTTTTCAAGTAATTTTAAGAAACCTAAGACAACCGCACCCTTCTTTTAATGGTTGGTCAAATTGATTTTCTTTTGTCCTGTTTTCTTTGCCTTTAGTGTACGATTGCCAGCTATATGTTAGAGCTGTCCATTCTGCCATGATTTTGATAGTACCAACCCCCGCGACAATGTATCCGTATTTCAAAATTGTGTTTAATGGCCAAAATAATTACACAAAAATCACACTTAAGGAATATCAAGGAGGTTCTGAAGTTGTCCTAGAGGAACTACAGCTGGAGAATATTATCAGCTATTGGGAATGGAGTGAATTTTCTATTTCCTTCTTTGCAAACAGTTTGCAGGTAATTATTTTTTTTTATGTGAAATTATGAGGTATATATGATCTGATGCCAATTAACTAAACTATAAGGTAAGCTGGTTTATATCCAGCGATTCTTTGTTACAGCTAGGAATATACAACGAACATATTTTGTCCAATTTTTTTAATCAATACCCGAAACCTACCTCTTATTTTTATTTTCGTTGAAAATTTTACATAATTGAAATTTTAGAATGAGCAATTTGGCATGGAAAATTGAATTTGTAAAAATCAAAACATTTGATGTTTGGCTGTATACATCCACTGATTTAGCTCATAGAGGTTGTGCGATAATTGTTTGTAATCAATCTTTCTTTAAGAACGCTGGTAACTCCTGTAGTTCCAAAGTGCAGAAATTTAGAAATCCCATCCTCTGATATGAAGATTTTTCTTCCATCACCTTCCAAATTGCACCTTGAATGCTCGATGTACAAATAAAATTGTTGTGACCGCTGCCTTTACCTCAACTCTAATATAAATGAATGTATGCATGAATAAAAACTAATCCAAATTGATAAAAAAGAATAGCACAATGAGGTTATATGTTATTAATAGCACCCTCTACATATGAAGTCAGTTTTGTAATATCAATACCAGCTTGAAGTATAAAGTAATAAGAAGTAAACTTTTAGCACTATTAATTAATAACTCATTAATATATTAAACAAGTTGAACTTGCGAAAAAAACTGTTATTACCCAAATGATGGGATTGATTTGACGCATTTATTCTACATGGCATTAACAATATGTGAATATAGAAATACAATAAATAAGAATAGTTTATTTCAGAAACGAAAATATAGTAGTAGAACTGGCAGATTTTTTAATAGTACTGCTAGCCTACAAAAGCTATAGCCAAAAGCATCTACTTTGATATAAAAAATTATATTTGTATTGATATTGAAAAAGATATTGTCACAATGGAAATGAGTGGAAAGCCTAGAAAAGATCTTAATAATTTACTTGTATTAAATTTTGTAGTGCGTTTTAGAGTTTATTTATCACTTGTCATTGTAAGTAATTGTAATTGATTATTAATGTGTTTTGTATCCAAGTGTGCATGTAATTACATGTCATTTTTCGCTAATTAATTTTTTAATTGGCGCATTTATTATGGTCTAGCCGCTATCCTGTGTTTGTTTAAAAATGAAATCAAAATTACTGATTACATTATATTCCGAAAAACTACTTTTTCAGATCTATATGAAGAAAACTTTAGGGATGCATTCACTTCTTGAAACGAAACACGAAGCTTTTAGATTATTTCGATGGTTTAGCGTTAGCTCAGATAATTCTATAGCTCACTGGAGTTTCTTTTGTCAACCTCCCACTTGGGCAAATCCACCTCCTGCATTTTTGCCAGAATGTGCATTAAATCCACATGAATCGGATTATAAAGGAACTCAGGTAGAGCGACCCAATAATGACAACAATAATTATAATAACCGTCACTACATCTAACCGATGCGAGTAGTTGCCAGCTAATTTTATTGAGTGTCATTAAATTCTACTTATAACTGCACAGGATGTTTGGTGCACAAAATACACTTCACTATTTAAAATTAAACCAACTACTAACAAAAAGTCTTGTAGGATATTACCAGTAGCGGCTTGCCATGTTTGCCGTGGTCTGCTTCCGATTTTTTGTCAGTTAACGTGGATATGCTATTCAAAAACGAGTCTTTGATTTTTCATTCGAAAAATTACTGTAGGAATCCTGAATCTTCCGAGGAAGGTAATTCCATAGAAAATTTGCATAGTCTCGGATTAAGAAAAATTGTGTAGGTGCGTTTTGTTACACTCTGTCTTCGAAGCCCGAAAAGAAGGTGGCCAAAACCATTTGCCACTTGAGAAAATGCAAATCTGATTTATGCAAAATAGCCGGTACAGGGAATGACTTTATTGGTCAAGTTTCGGTAACACGCTCTGGACGGCCGTGCGATTATTGGGATCCGAATCCTCAAAAGAGTGTTCATTTTGCCTATATGTATTCGTTTAACGGATCATACTTTGCCGAAATGAACGCAAGAGATGCAAAAAACTTTTGCCGAAACCCATCCAGGGATATTTCAGGTCTAAGTGAATGTACATTTAAAAAAAGCCAGTCTAATTAGATACAATATAACCAACAGGTAGTTGGTGTTATACCAGAGATCCCGAAGTTGTTCAAGATGTGTGTAGTGTTAGAGATTGTGACAAACCTGAAGAATGTATAATTATTATTTCAACCAGCAATAAAGGTGTAATGTCTGTTTTAGATAACCTTTGAGTATATCATTTATATTCAAAAATTGTAGAACGAAAGATTTTTATACTACCACAATGGAAGGAGGTGGGATTACACGGGGGTCTACGTTTTGGCTTAAAACAATGGAATCCGGATTATTTAGGTGGAATAGCTTTTCATATATTTCCCAGAGAGGGTCAAGATGAAATTACATTTGTGATAGGTACAATATCATTCTAATGATCCGTTGGACTCAATCGTATATATGTTTTAGGAGCTCAATATAACGAAAAAGTAGAACTTTATTTTAATAATGAGTTGACTCAAATAAAAACTTTTCCACACTTAATCGCTGCAGGAAAATGGACAGAATTTTGGTTACAAGTCAGAAGAGGAGAATTATTATTTGGTCTAGAGGGTGTGCCTGCTCCATTATTTGAATGGAAGCAAGTGGATTCGAACAAAGCTTTTGAACCTATTTTTATAACATACACATCTCTATTTGATACTTTACCAATCGCAATTTTTTTTAAGGTCAGCCTACTAACAATTTATTTTATTTTGACATTTTCTTTTAAAACTGCTTATTTGTTATTACAGTGTGATGAATGTCACACCGAGAATACAACCGCTAATAACTTCCTTAAATTCATTCCGATTGGATTAGGATCTCTAACTGAAAGTAAAATCTATAGAAATTTGACATTGAAAATGAGGGGGGTAGGAGTTGCTTGGATTTCTTTGATGTGGGTGACTAACAATTTAAACTCATATCAAATTAAACTGGATACGTTGGCAGGTAATAGAATATCTGCAGGATAATCATTGTTCTGTAGAAGCCGTCAAACTGTGAGCTACTCGGTATGATTATCACTAAAGAAACATCCATCATGATTCTCTATAAGATTTTTAGTTGTATGTTTTCCACGGGCAAAAATAATTGATGAAACAAAGTTTGTGTGTCCAAATATGTAGATATAATTAATTTTATTTTCAAAGGATTGGTTTCGGACTCCCAGAATATAAATGAAAAGTGAAAGGGTAGTCCTTTATTTAAACGTCATAAATTTTCGTAGGCCAAATAGGTCTATATAGAGTCGAGGCGCCTCCTCAGGGTACCGTGGGACTGTCATACACACTTGTCGAAAAAAATGGCTTTGAAAATTTGTTACTTGCTAATAATTGGACCAAATTTGATGTGTCATTTTTTGAAAGAACAATTTCCATTACGAGAAACAATGAGTTAGTTCTTCAGTACAATAATAACAAACCAATTTTGGCCTATTGGTTTTCAATAGCTTCTGCACATGGCTGGGTAAAATATGATTGCATTCATGTTGACATATATATTTCAACATGTGATTCTTAAGGTAAGTTGGAGTGCCAACTGTGAGCCATTGGAACTGGATGGTACACCTCGTGATGGTGGATGGTCGCCGTGGTCTTCGTGGACTTGCAGTGTATCTTGCGGCGGAGGAGAAGGTTATAGGACTAGAACCTGTTCTAATCCTTACCCGAATATATTTGGAAAATTGTGTCAAGGGTACATATACATATTTCATTTCCCTATACATTTTGTTTAATAACAAAATAACATTTCACTTTTCATTGAATTTAAGTATTACATTACTTTTGCAGAAGTCCCACGGCAACAGGTAAATGCAATGATTTTCCTTGCGGCGACCTGAGTGTGGAGACATTGGAAAAGATTTATGAAAATCTACAAACTGAACATGATAGTTACCTTGTGGATGAACATAGTTCCGTTCAGTTGATGAATAATGATGAACTGTTAAAAATTATAAAGAAGGAATCCCCTGAAGCTTTTTATGAATGGACGTTGAATGGGATGTTGATTAAACCGACAGCTACAATATTTTTTAGAGGCAATGATATTTTGATAAAGGAGGCTAAACCTAGCGATTCAGGGGTGTATGTCTGTATGGTGTATAGAATAAACAAAAAGAGAGTGATCTTAAGAGTAATCAGTTTAGCCGTCCGGGCAGAAAAATATAATGTGGATACACGAGCTACTTATTCATATACTCTTTTATGTAACTCAGTTATTTTGGGTTATGTATATTCAGATCTGAGCTTAAAAATCATTGTAAATAATGAAACATATTTTGATTTTGGCATTACGACATTAGCGGCTATTAATGCTTATATTATAGAGTCGTTAAATATTTCCCATTCAGGCAGCTGGAAATGTCTAGTTGAACAAAAAGATTTAAAATTGTCTTGGATAACAAACTATCTTAAAATTAATGTAAAAAGTAAACCAAATTTTTATACGCACCTAATGGAAGATAAGTTGACGGCCCCTTTATTTGGTCGCATGAAAAATGAAAAAATGGTTTTGGCAGCAGTTATAGTTATTGTTTTACTTGTGTTTGTGATTGTTGTACTGTTTTTAGTTGTTTATTTCAAATATTGTACTTTGGCACCTAGGTATCACAGAAATAGACGATTTTAGATATGCTTTGTATTTAATTAAAAAATTAAAATCTTTTTGTGTTTAGTTTATTTGATTCTTTGTTTTAAGTTCAAAAGAAAGAGGGTTCAAGGGGATTTACAGTGGTATACAAAGGTATGTGGAGATTAACGAAAGGCAAGAAGATAGAAGTGGCTATAAAGATGCTGACGCAAGATTCAATGGAAACATACCTTAAGGTACAATTGACAATATGTAATAAATTTGTTTACATTAGCATCTATATTTTTTTAGGATTATTTAAATTTGCTAGGTCAGTGGTCATTTTTGCGATCGCCATTTATAGTTCGTTTGTTCGGAATCGCTTTCATAAATAACATCACCTCAGTTTTGGAATTTTTTAAACTGGGGCCGTTAGATCAATATTTACGAGATAAAAGAGGCATATTAAAAAGTGTAGACTTAGTGGAAGCTGCTAGTAATTTGGCATCGGCAGTCTGGCATCTAGTGAGTGGTAACTTTTTTTGGAAGTTTATCTTAGGGTCTAGAGTCTATATACTTGCATTTTAAAATAATTGGGGTCTTGTTTCAGAAAGAGAATGATATTGTTCATGGCAAAATCAGATGCAGAAAACTTATGGTAAGCAGTCATGATGAAAATTCATTTACGGTCAAACTCACAGATCCTGGAGTTCATACGTCCTATGAACCATCCGAGTAAGTATTACAATACTACATGGTTATTCAATTTTTTTTGAGGAAACATTAAATATTGATGTTCAATATTTCTGACCTAATTCAGGGTTCACTGGATACCAGTCGAGTACCACGGAAGAAATTTGGAACACTTTAAGAAAACAACAGCGGCTGATGTTTGGGCACTGGCAACCACATTATATGAAATTTTTACTTATGGCGCAGACATAAAAATTAGTTTATCTGCAAATTATCAACCGGATTATGAGCAAACTATACGCGTAAGTCACAACAAGAACTTCGTATTTTGCAGCCACCGAACCACTGATGTAGTTCCATAATGTTCTTGAAACTATATTAATCACATATCAAATAATTAATGTTTAATGTTCAATTTCTTTTTGGGCTCGACTTTTAAGAAATCTAACAAAAAGTTTTCCACTGGGAGAATTTGTAAAATATTCTAATAAATTTTTAGTGGTATGCTAGTAGGCGTCTCCAAAGGCCTCCAGACTGTCCAAATGAAATTTACACTTTAATGCTAGAGTGTTGGGAGGCAGATCCCCATCGAAGAAAACAGCCACAAGCAATAAGTCGGGACATAAATCAGTTGCTGTATCAGGGTAATAGAAATAAAAAGTTCATATGTTGATGTACCATTTTTTTTCTTGCAGTATACAACTCTCGAAAAAATCATTCTTATGCTACCGTGTCGAAAAAGCCAAATGGCCCCTCCATAAGGGGTAAGTATATTTATATTGTCGCTTATTTTTTGATAAATTGCCTGAGCCGATTTTTTGGAAATTTTATATATATTAGAAGTTTCAGGTAATTCAGAAATTGGAGTTATTTCTTCACCCGATTGCGATAGTTCATTGTTGGACAATATTAGTATGTCCGATGCTACATCGCAACAGTATTTGTTACCTTCTCATGATATAGCAAAGTTTGATATTACCAGTGAAATTTCGGTATTTTTCCCTAACATCAGTTGTTCAACAATAACAACTTCGTTAGAAAGCTTGAACTCAATGCAAAGCGTTTTTGAATTGGATGATAATTGGGATGTCATTTTACAAGGGAGAATAGGCCAAGTAAATATGTCTTAACTATACTATGATTATTTTATAAAGAGTTCAAATATGGAAATATTAAATAGTTCTTTTTGTTTGCGGGGTTAGCCCCTACTCTTTGAAAATTACTATATCTTTTAGGGATTTTATGGAGAAGTATTCAAAGGCCAATTAGAAAAGACGGGTAGCAATGGAATGGAAGTAAAAAGAGTTGCAGTAAAACGACTTAAATCCTCCACCGAATCATCTTTGTGTTTACAAGATTTTGAACGGGAAATAGAAATCATGAAGGTTAGCTTATTAATGATACCTTTATCTTTTAATGGTTTGGCATCGACAAATGAATATGAATATACAGGTGCGTCTGCGGTTGCTATTTTGCAAACTGTTGGCGATGGAAATAAATTCAGTTAGAAAAAAAAAATTGGAAATTTCACAAATGTCTGGGACGCATAACATAATATTTGATTTTCAAATATATAGAAAGAAAGTAAACTTATGTTTTTTCATACGCATTTTTTTATAACATTTGCTACCGCTAAACTATATGTTTCAGATATTTGCCATTTTGCAAAAATGTACGCCGTTTCTAAGAATAAATGCTTTCCAAGATATTTCTTTTCTTCTTTCTTTAATCCAGGAATAATTGCGCAGGAAAAGGCAACTAACATATAAATGCAAATATTTGGGAAGCTATGACATTTAGGTATAGAGTTTAATTTGATATAAGAATAAATATATAGGAGTTCCGTAAGAAACAACATTATAACTCATATCTGAAGATAATTTTAGGTTATTATGCCATAAATAACTTTCAACAAATAAATCATTACGAATTCCAGGAAATTTGGTAAAAAAAATTGTTGCTAAATTTGAAATTGCTTTTTCGTAGAAAATTCTGCTATATAAGCAAAAAATTTTGTATTGACTTAATCACGTATTTTTATTTTAGACTTTACGCCACCCAAATATAGTAGAAATTCTGGGAGTTCTTCGTAATCCAGAGATTGCTCTTGTAATGGAATATGTGCAACATGGATCATTGCAAAGCTTCTTAAAAATTAATAAGGAAACTCTGAAGGCTGCGCAACTTTTAAAATTTGGTTTAGATATTGCAAAGGTATATTTAAATTAATTTTTTTGATTTTTGCTAACCAATCAGTTTCGCGTATTCTAAGTTACAAAGTTTTGAAAATTTTGATAACATATCTATTTTTTTTAAATTTCGAACTACAGATAAAGTGTTTGTATTCATAATGTGTCATATTTACAAACTAAGGTATCCAACTACTAGTTTAATTTGCCCAATTCAAATTTTGCGTTTCATTTGTAATAGAATCTAGATTTTTTTATAGGGTATGGAATATCTGGGAAAGAAGAATATTGTTCATAGAGATTTAGCTGCTAGAAATATTTTAGTGGCTGATGAAAACCACGTAAAAATATCTGATTTTGGATTAGCTCAGGTGATGGGTGCAAACGATTATTACATTTTGAAAACTCCCAACAGGGAATTGCCAATTAGATGGTAAGTATCTATAACAAATTACATTAGATATTTTTATATATTTTTCCACCATATTTTGTAAAAATGATTTTTTTTATACTTCCTACTCAAAATACCTAATTATGCCCGGATGAAGCGTGAGCGTATTTTAGTTGTTAATTCTGACGGTCACGTTACATATCACTCAGTATTTCTTCAGTTTTCCGAAAATGTACCCAAAAACTAATGGACCTAGAAAAAGTATACAATACCTTAATAAAACTTCTTCAGATCCTCGTTGATTACGCTGCGGTCCGCTCGTGCCAAATGAACCTCGAAACTCAAATGGCGTTTATCAAACCTATTGCTAGGTCAATTGGCGCGGCTAGATTTTAGCGACCAGTGGCGGCCATGTTTTTTGGTGACGTTTGTACTTATGTCAAATCCCCACGGCCCATTACATCATTGACTAAAAAAATTTTATTATAAAAAAGTGACGGTGTATTGCACAACCCAATACACTTCGCAGATTTCAACTTGGAGAATTTTGCTAGGGGACTTAGGTCTACACCTCTACAAGATCCAACTGATCCAGGAGCTCAGAGTTCATAACCATAGGTTACGTTATTTCTTTCGTTAATTGCACTCCAAATTATTTGAAAATGGGTCACAATTTGGTCCAAAAAATCATCTTTAACGACGAAGCACATTTTTGTATGAATGGAAACTTTCCGTATATGAGGTCACACCAGGTGACAATGCATATTCAAAAAGTGAAAACTTTTTCAAAAACGACGTTGGTGAAACAGCATATGGATCTAGACGACATATAGTTCAAGCGACACATCTGACGCCATAATTGGTCTGGGTGTTTTTTAAAGTCTATGGAAATAAATCACAATCCATAAAGGTGAACATAGCACAGGAAATTTTTCAAATTCAGATGGATCTCTATCTTTGAAATTTGGACTATTCGAATCCGTGCCGCCATGATTCCAATATTTCACACTTCTGGACTTTTCAAATAAAAAAAGAAATTTGATAATATCTCACACACAGATTTTTTATTTCATTTCAAAATCTACCCTTGCTTATTGAAAAACTTTTTACTTTTCAAGTGATACGGCAATAATTTTAGGTATGCACCTGAGAGTCTTAGAGATGGTAAATTTTCAGTTAGATCGGATGTTTGGTCATTCGGAGTTACTATGTGTGAAATGTTTAATTATGGGGAAGAACCTCAACTACCAAATATAAAGGATTATTCTGATGGACAAGAACCACAAGCATTACTAGATGCAATAGAGGGTGGTGCCAGGTAAGAAAATGTAATTATAAAAATATAAGTAACCTTTTTTAATCAAATTACCTTTTGCCATACAAATCTGTTAAATCTCTGTGACGTGATAAGTTGACTTTGCCACTGAATATAATAAAACAGAAAATTTCATTTTGTCGTTTGTCGATATGAGAAAAAACGAGGCAGTGAAAATGTACCTTTGGCTTTGGACTATCTCGTCAAATAATCCAAAATTATGAAAATCTTCAATTTTCAGTTTTTCTATAAACTCAGTTATCACTTGTTTTTCTGTACGAAAACTATCTTAACCGCGTGAGGTGCATCAATTTTATTTATTTTATTATTTATTTATTTATTTTATTACATTTTTTTTTTAACAAAATGTATATGCACCATTAATTTTATTACTACCACAAACCATTTTTTTTTTAGATTTCCATGTCCCGCCTTTTGCCAGCAGGCCATTTACATACGCGTAATTTACCCTTGTTGGGAAAATGATCCTCACAAACGACCACTGTTTCGTCAGATCGCATTGGAAATTGAAGATTTGCTGATGATACAATGATTTCATACGTGAAAGGAATAAAAGTACAATTTTAAATTGATTGTTAATAATAAACACGCATTTGTCGATTCCAGTTTTGCTAAAATGTTAAATTTGAACTAAGAAATTTCACATAAAACTGAAACTAGCTTTTGCTTACAGCATTGTATCAACAGTTTTGTTGTGTAATAAAATTGTATTAAGAATCTTAACTTAATAAAATTGTATTAAGAGTCATCATATGGATTGCTGAGTTAATACAAAAACAAGGAGTTGTACTGAGGCTTCAAACCAAATCCGGAAAAACGCTATAATAAAATACTAATGAAAAGTTTAGTGTGATTCAAGTAGAAAATAGCAAATAGGTACCAGCTCACTAGTGAAAAGGTGCCAAGAATAGACAATCAGGTATTAACTTTATCATGTTCTAGGTAAAACGTGTTTCAGTATGGCCTCTTAATTTAATTTAGTTATATTAAAGCAAAAAGATTTTGGATTTGAAGGGGTCACACTGAAATCTTTAGCTTTCAATGTGGGTATGTCTTATTTATATTAGGGATTCAAACCTCCCTGATTTTTCCGTATTTGGTTTGAATTGACAATGTAATCATTGTCTGATTGTTGAAAAATGTACAAATTTCTAAGACTTGTATTTTGATGATGTTGTATTAAAGTTTAATAACTTTTTGAAACGTCATTGATATTTGATTATAAATTTTCCTGGAAAATTGTGTAGGTGAAATTAGTTTTGTTCCAACTGCAGTCAGAAACCGGTTTGGAACAGTAAATTCTTGTAACAACTGATTTTTTGATACAATGAATGTTTTTGACTGAGAGGAAAATTAGTTTAGTGACAAATTTATAGTTACAAATAGTCACCGCGCGAGCGACTCAATGCCCATACGGCCTACAATATTACCATTACGGTATATGGACGTGTTCAAAAACCTTCCTTTAGAAGGAGATATCGTAGGAGACCATTATTTCCCAAAAAAAACTGAAATGATAGAGCAGGTTATTAAAAATGTAATTATAAAAAAGTCTTTCTTGCGAAACAATGTTGTTGCGATTAGCACAATATGTTCATAAGACATTCGAAAATAATTTAAATTTTTGTGTTCAAATAATTCATTATACATATACAGTGTGTCCCACTTAAGAACTATACACACTTGTGAAATCTTTATTAATGGATTGATTTTGAATTTTTTTTGTTGGATAGATCTCTGAGAAATGCACTAAAACCTTGTTTTGCTTATTGCCTAAACTTAAAGTCATGGCCAACTGGGACTATTTAACAAAAGAGATAGACGAGAGAAGTACTATTAGCGATTTAAAAAAAAAAATGGCAACTAATCAACATATTTAGGCCTACATAAAACCTAACTATACTAATTTCCCATGAGGTTCGCTTAAGCATACCTTAATTTTGATCATTGTTTTTTGCTGTATAGATCTTACTAAAGCGAAATGAAACGGTTTTTTCATATAGCATCGACTAAAGCGTGGATAACTGACACATTTTTTTTAAAGCTGAAAATCGAAAAGTAGTTCTGGAGATTTTTTCAAATTGAAGATGAGAGACACCGGATTCCTATTCAGGACTACCTAGAAGTTTTTAAATTAAAAAAAAAAATCCAAATCTTGGATATAACGAGTATTTTCTATGTGATTTTAAGATCTTACAAATTTTGATTATACAACTTTTAAAAATAATGATAAAAAAACTTTAAGGGACATTTATTTTTTAGTATCATCTCAACACAAAATGAATAATTCTTAGTATTCGAAAGATGTAAACAAAAATAAAATATAAATTAGCGAGTGAATTTGACAGTCGAATATTCGCTTCACCATGGCAAACTTGATTGTACAAAGGAAACAGTATGTCGACGTCAATCAATTTTGATACTTCCGTTATTTTCATTATTAGATAAGAATTAAAAATCCTTTTTAATTAAAAAAAAATACAGCGTTTTTAAGTTATTTAGTTCATATCTAATCCTCTATAATCATATTTAATTTTAAGAAAATCATTAGTGTATGTCGCCGTCAATCAATTTTGATACTTCCGTTATTTTCATTAGATAAGAATTAAAAATCCTTTTTAATTAAAAAAAAATACAGCGTTTTTAAGTTATTTAGTTCATATCTAATCCTCTATAATCATATTTAATTTTAAGAAAATCATTAATGTCTATCCAACAAAAACAAACATTCTACAGGAGTAATGCTTCAGCGAGGTGCCCGCGATATTTCGAGCACCCTGTATTCGAGTCCCAGTTTGCTATGACTTCATGTTGATGTAACAAGAAACATAAGGTTTTTACAATAAATTATCAAAATCAAATCAATCAAAGATTTTACAATGATGTGCAACCTTAATATTAATAATAATAATCTTTATTGCTTAACAGATTAACATCCATTTAGAAGACCATTTCTTCTTAACTGTATATATATTAACTATATGTGTATTAACTATAACTGTAATAAGTGGTAAACTATATTCACTCCAGCCAAGTAATAGTGAAACATACAACCGATTATAGTATTTCAAATTTCCGTTTAATTGATGTGGTAAACTGTGAGCGACTAGGACAAAAAACTTCAATATCATTGCAGAAGTCATTAAATAATTTCATCAACTGATAGAGAACACCTTTTATCAAAAAATTGGTTCTTGGAGTTACTACATGAAATATAATCCTTGAAGGAACATTCAGCTATCTCAGCAACTCGGAGTAATCCTCTAATGAATTGCAAAGTTTATATAAAAAATGAAATGAAAGGTACCTCCTACGACTCAACAGTAAGAGAACCTTAAACATTAGTAATAAATCACTCTGTGGCAGTCCCGGGTAGAAACCATTTACATGATAGTGATGAAATTTCGGAAACTTTCTCTGTACGTTTTCAATTTGAGTGATATACTTACCAAATATTGGTCGCTACACTATTGAAAACTTGTTTCGAGCGCACGTAACTATAGTATATAAGTATGCTTCCTTGCAAAATCTCTAGAATTTCTCACTATGAATCCCAGCATTTTGAGTTCACTTCTACAGGCTTCATCGACATGATTTGTGAAGGAGAATTTTGTGTCAAACGTTACACTCAAGTCTTTAAAACTGTCATATTTTCTTAATAATATGTGATCCAGATGGTACTTAAAAGTTATAGTATCAGTCTTCTTTGAACATGTAATTGCGAAACATTTATCTGTATTCAGTGGTAGGTTATTAGAAGCACACTAAGATACCAATAATCTCCAAATCATTCTGCAGAGACACACAGTCAACGACACTATCAATTATTCTAAACAATTTGACATCATCAGCAAAGAGCAAATTTTAACTATCAATATTAGCTAGCAATGTAATTAATGAAAAGCAAGAATATCAATAGCGCTAAATTGCTGATTACCAATTTACTATTTTTTAAATCCCTAATATTACTTCTCTCTCCTCTCTCTTTTGTTAAATAGTCCCAGTTGGCCATGACTTGTTTAAGCAATAATCAAAACAAGGTTTTAGTGCACTTTTCAGAGACCTATTATCCAACAAAAAAAAATTATCAAAATCGAACCATAAACAAAGATTTTACATGGGTGTACAGTTCCTAAGAGGGATAGTCTGTGGTTAAATATACATTTTTTTGCTTTCTCTTAATTGATTAATTGGACCACGAAGTAAGCTTGCTTTCTGTTATATTTTTCTCCCTTTTTGGTGGTTCCTCTTATACAAAGGCATGACAGGCAAGGAAAAATTTTTGCTAAAATTCTCCCGTTGAAATTAATATGGTGTTATTCCGTGCCCCACTCAACAGAGATGGCATCTACCAGGATTTTTCCAAATATAATGTGATTGTTAATCTGAGTTCATCCTATTTCCATTAGAAATAACACTGCTTATTTTGCAGCTGGTGGTTGGGAAATAAAAATTTCCACATTACAATCACATAGTGTCTTTATTGGAATAAAATGTTGCCAATACGACTTAATTTTTATGCTATCAAAGTATTTCAATTACTAGCTACAAGACGCGCATATATTTATTTTTTGGTTAAGCACTAAACCTTTTATACCCAATTACCTTTGATGTCAAATTTCTGTGCTAATTGCCAAAATTTGATTGAAAATTTCTTTGAAGTTGAATAATTGAAAAAGAAAATGTCTAGCTTTAAAGTATCTGATAAGCACTCGTTTCTATGCAGTATACGTAAGATTTACTACATATGAACAACATAATGAAAAACTATGTAAAAAATTTAATTTAAATTTTCCATTTTTAAACAATGTTACCTAAATAAGTAATAAAAACACTATATTTTAAAAAATTACTGCAAATTTTGAACTCTCAGCTTTTCAAAATAAGTAAGTAAACCTACAAGCCTTTTTTTCACACGTTTTTGATCATCAACGGTGCAACCCAAAAGAGCAGACTCAAATTTTTTATCCATTGCACCTTCCACCATTACTGAGGAACATGCGTTGACATATGAAATACATCTGAAAAAAATTAGAATGTGGCATATTAAGTCATAAATTAATGTCTACAAACTATATGTTGCAAATGTACTGGAGTTCATTTCACCTACCTATAGTTTGACAAATTTAATAAATATTGTAGTTCTAAAAACAGCTGTTGAACACCTTCAGATGAGTTTTTGCTTGTCTATTTTTCAAATTTTGCTTTGTTAAAAAAGATAACGCAATTGACGACCGAATTATGAACCCTGGTAAAATGAATCTTACTCATTTTGATTATTCGGAAGATATCAGGAAAATTCTTCAGTGAACATGCAACATGCAAAATTTTAACTCACCTAGCTTTAACGGCCTCATGATCCTGTTTAAGTTCCATAACCAGATTATCTATCAAATGATTTACTTGAAACAGGGCTTCTTCTTGCATTAAATCTCGTTGTGTAAAAACACGAACATCAACAGTCATGCACCTATTCATGATTCTATCAGCGTAACGTAACACATCATCGGCATCATCTGAAAGAAATGTCAAGACCATATGCACAGAGCTTTTATGATTTACTCTTACTTTCATTAAGTTGATTCATTAAATCTGCATTTTTAACAGAATCCAAAGTAGCAAGTAGATGATCTCTATCTTCTTCTAATTGACTGGCTTCCTTTCTCAACTTTTCTACATGACTTTCTAGTAAATCCAGCAAACCTAATATTCTTTCTTTTGGAGTTTTTGGATCATGTGTTAAATTTTCATCAATTTTTGGAAGTGTTTGCAGTACAATAGAAGTTGAAAGCCCTAAAAGTAATTAACAAAATTTCCATTTTGGCTAACAATAGAAAAAATTACAGCCAACATTTTTTTCAGATTTCAAATCTTTTGTGGATCTGATTAACAACTAACCAACAGTTGAACAGTTAAAGAAGTTATTAATTCAGAAGAAAGTTTTAAAAAGCACATTCCAGTGAGATAGGGTCAAAATTATTCTCAATAAGGTATTTTTCTGGTGAAAAAGGGGCATTATTACTTTATACTCAAATTAATAACAGTTTCTGAAATTTTCAAAGAAACACGGGCTACTGTAATACTATTTATATTTCTTTTGGGTTCTTTCTGCACATCAGTTGTTGCAGCAAAGTTCGATGTATCAACAACCGACAAAGGAAGAATCCAGAAGAATTCAAAATAGGATCATTTTCTGAACCTTTTAAAACAAAGTGGTCCAGATAAGGGTTTAACAATGTTTTGTTTTTACTAAAACAACGTCAAGCAATATTTTTTCATTAGAAAGAAAATCTGAGTACACAATATTATTTTTACTTTAAACAACTCAATGTGCAAAACACAATATAAAATTTGAGCAATTAATGTTTTTAAACCAAACTATACCTGAAGCGGTCGGTAGGCTTTGATCTACGTCCATAATTGTGGCTTCTTCGACCAATTTAAAAGCCGATTGCGTGGAATCCAGTTTTACTTATTAAATGTAATTTATGGTACAAAACAAGCTCATACAATTTGGAATAAATCTAGAGCTTCTAGAAATTGTTGGAGGGAATGTGGTTATACTGCTTTCCTTCTTCTTTGTTGTTTTGGGATAATTTCTGTTAAGTTCTCAACCCATTAGAATATAGTAAACACTAGATCTATCAATGAAAACGAAATCTAGACTGCCAAAAATTAAGGTTGTAGTTTTCTGTGATCACAGTAAAGCTATGGTCTAATAGGAAAAGGGTTATAAAACATAACATTGAATTTACAAAATAAAATTATTTGAGCCAATTGTGCAAAACGCCGAGGGCAATAGTAACATTGTTGTGTAATAGAAACTGGTACTTGCCGCCTTTCGCAAAGCAATATAAGTAACGATTTCGGTAGACAAAGGGATTGACCAACTATGCTCTTCTGTCCTGGGTTATTCATTATATTTGGCCACCCAGCTTACAGGGTTAATTTTGAAAGATAGAAAAAAAAGTGTAAATACACATATTGTTCAAAAATGGTCAAGTCTGCCCTGACAGCAACCCTATTATTTGTGTTTGCAATTGTTTTAACAGTGTACTACTTTTGACAAGTAATCAAAACTAAAGATCTGCAGCGTAAGTTAAATAACTTAAGATATTTCAAATTGCTTATACTGAAAAATAAAAACGCAAAATAATAAAAATATATTATTTAAACAATAAAAATATCAATAATTATACTTTTTACAAGGCTTGTGGATTCCTCTTGCGTCGGTTTTGGCTGAGTCGAAATCGCTGACGTTTCGCCAATCCTGTTGGCTTCATCAGAGCTTGACACAGTTTCAGTCAGGCTCTGAAGAAGCTAACAGGATGATTGGCGAAACGTCAGCAATTTCGACTCAGCCAAAACCGACGCTGGAGGAATCCAGAAGCTTTGTAAAAAGTATTACAGTAGCCTGTGGAAGTTTCTTTGAAAAATTTTCAGTAATTAATGCTAAACATGTTCCAAATAAGCTCCACTATTGTCTTATTAATACACGAAGTGATAAAATCAGGGTTTTCTCTGCTTACATCATATAAAACGATATTAAGTTTTATCACTTTTAAACTTTCAGGTCTATTATCATAAATTTTATTTTTTAAGTATCCCCACAAAAAAAAGGATTCAGGTCTGGGCTGTTGGCAGGCCATTTCATAATTGCTTGCCTACCTATACAAAGTCTATATTTATTATTTAGATAATTGGTTGAACATTACGTGGAGGTAACCATTTTTAAACAATATGGCTGTTGTCCAGAAATTAATTAATTATTTTTAAACTGAAATATCTGAAAAACGGCTAAATGAAATGGCAATTAACTATGTTTTTAAAATTAGGAAAAAAAAAGATGTACGATTTAAGCTAATATATATATAGGACATTGCGATCGTCGTTTGTTTTTTCTGACATTTGCATAAGATAATAGAACAAAACTCTTGAAACTTTTGTATTTACACTTTTTTTTGTCTTTCAAAATTACCCCTGTAGGTGGGTGTCAAAATATAATGAATCACCCTGTACAAATAACGCTTCAAACTTCTTTTAAGTGGGGTACGTGACGTCACGGTAACAGTCGATCCAATGTTGTGATATAGTTTGCAACTGTAAATTTTGGTATAAGGGTAATTTAAAAAAGCATGTGACAGGTCTAAAATCAAACGCCTTGTGTTAATATTCTTATATTAATTTTTTTTACAATAAAATAAAATTATATAAAATATGTGTAATATATTATGTATTGCGGTAGACATATCAAGGATTGGTTAAATAAAAAGATGTCCATTTGTTACTTTGATTTTAAAAGTAAGTATTTTCAACATCAGTCAGTTAGTTCATGCATTTGCCATTAAAACTCTATTGCAAATTCCATTTTTTTTTTAAATTTACTCCAATAGTATTCTGCAACACAATTTTTAGTAAATTTAGTTAGCACATATTGAGACACTGGGGAAATATGTGCTTTCAATGTTGAAATGGTTGATTCACGGTTGGTGGTGCAAGTTCACTCCAATCTGGTATAGGTAGCTTTGTTAGTACTTATTATTTTTAAGTCATTAACTTAAAACATCTTCAATCTTCGCATACCTTTTGATGTCAGAACAAAAAACAAGACAGCACACAAGCACAGAATAAATTCAACCATTACAACCTTTAATTTAAAAATGTTTCCCATGTTACTTCTCCGAAACAGTCATTCTAATAGTCAACCTGATTTAGTTTTCATCATGTTTCAAATACCTCCTAACAGCGGTTATCATAAATGGAAAGGATTTTTTTAAAGGATGATACGAATTGTTTTTGAGGTAAACTGTTTCATAGAGGTAACAACAAATGCCTATAGAAAACAAATCAAGTACTAAACTAACACCAAACATTATAATACGGAAAATTTAACAACAATTCTATAGGGACATTATGCCATTAACTATAAATATGTGACAAACAAACCTATTAGCAACAACTTTTTAAATTTTCTATAACAACACAGTTAAAAACATTCAATTGTTACAATAGTTTGATACTGTTTGTCATTTGGAAATTTAGGAAAATTTACCAACAATCAAAATTAAATTCCAAAATTGTACTACTCCACTAGCCTACAACATTAATACATTCAAATTAAAGAAATGATGGCGCAAAGAAGCAACATTTCTCACTGCATAAAAAAATGTGCTAAATAACTAGTGAGATAAAAAACCAAGATCAGTATCATAAACGCCAGAGCTATTGGAATTACATGATTCCAATTATTCTCAGATCATTCGGATATTTAATAATTTTTTACTACTGCAGCCATTGTTTTAAATAATATTCCTGCATATTCAGCAACGGGGTGCATTAATATTTTAATATTTTTCCAATTTAGTTTCAATGATTCCATACCATAATTTAAACATACTTCATACCAAACTTAAAATTAAATATTCATAAGTATCCACAGATTAGAAAAATAACTTGTTATATATAATTAATTCAAAACTTTCCCGGCTGTTGCAGAGACAATGTTGCTTTTGCTCCGATTCTATCGAAATTCAACTCTAGTTAAAATGAAGCAAAATAAAATTGAAATGATCAACGAAACGCCTTCAATAAAGACGAAAATTAATTAAGAATCGCTTGTCCCTGAAAACACAATAAATTTCTAAAAATCGCTAGATCTCTATAATAAGACAATTTCTTGGTTATTGATACACCATCTTCATTTTTTTTACAGTATCCATTTACAGTCTACCATTGCTTAAGTTTCAACATCCGATTCGCCACTTCCAATGTGTAATTTTTTAGCAATGTAAATGTCAGACCTTCAGTCAAAGAATACTTCGCAGAACTGATACAGGCATAACAAACACTGGTACCTTGTACCGAAAGGCCGGCTATGGTATAAGGATAACTATAAATATTTGGCGGTACATTTATGCACCATGCAAGATCAATTTTCATATGGAGTAAAATAATCAAAAAATATTTCATAAAGGCACTGTTATCTCTTATTTTCGGGTTTGGCAACCAAAATTCCAGAAGATCTTTTTAAATTTGGCAATTTTTGACATACCTATCAATTGGTTTAGCTTATGTTATTACAGATGTCAATAAATAATATTTTAAATTAACATTGAAAATTACAAAATTATTGACAATCAAAGTATAAACACAAGAAAAGATCAACTTTTCTAAGACCACCCTCCTGTTAGCTTATGGAACAGTTCCTCATTTAAAGTTTGACTCGCATCTTTTGAACGGGTTGACAAGAAAATATAACCTCCTATAAATTCATGTACGACCTTACAATCCGCCGATAAGCAACTAAACACAATGTTTTCTTCTTCAAATTGTACCATCATGTGCTTTATTTCCCAATTAACATTCCATGCTTTCATGGTATTGAATCTCCAAGTCTTTTGATGAACCCCGGTATTAATATCCATTTTCATTATTCTGTTGTAAGCAACGCCTAGTAATTCTTCTTTTTTACAATCCATAAATTTGACCACAAACAGAGTGATGCCGTATTCGGGAAGAAGTTGCCACGCCTTAATGTAATTCATTTTAGCATCGACTAGTGATAGGTCTTTTACATTGGTGTGAGCTTCCAAAATTCTTTGAGTTAACTGAAATAAGACAACCAATCAATTACATTTTTGAAATTGCTGAGCATTAATTATTAAAATTAAAAGATAAATAAATGAAACGCTGATTAACTATAATTAAATACCATAAATCAGTAATAACTACAATATTTGGTTAAAAAAAAATAAATAAAAAAATTGCACATTTTTAATTTTTGTATACAGTGTGTACAGTAAAAATGGTTAAAGTTTCTGTTGGAAACAACAAAGGCAAAATAGTTAAAGTTGCATCAAATAGTTGCTGGGCCAATGAAAACAAAACTTTAAATGTTCTAGTTATTGCTAAGTTATTCATTAGGCAGGTGCAGGTGGTGATTGTGGTGCGGATAGTCTTCAATTTTATTATATTGAATTGTGTAACCAACAAGTTGGTTATAGCACTAATTGTCTTCTACACTTTACCAAAATAACATGTGATAACTCACCTTCCCTTTTGACTTCTTTAAATATTTTGGGGCAATGTAGTCCTCAACCTGAATATCCAAACTGTTAGGATTTAGAACCGGTTCTTCTGCCCTTCGTTGCAGATTTAAGAAATCAAGAATAGTTTGCTTTTCATTCTCATAAGAACTGTCCGCCAACGATCTGCCTTTAGCTGCCAACCGACAACAGGCCATCCATCTGGAATACTGTGTTTCCTAAAAAAAAATTATGTTATCATTTTTGGCTTAGCATCGCTAAAAGCTACTTACATCATCGCATCGTATATACATTTCCGTCATACCTTCTGCACTCGGCACCTCTAACTTTATAACATATTTATTTTGACTAATATTAACATCTGGGGTAACTTCACAACCTTTTAAGTTGATATTCGTGACACAGCTAGCATTATGAACCATATCTTCCCTCGTTTTGTACATATAAAGGTGCAAGTCTCTGCATGTAAACCAATACTTTTTGTAGGCCTTTAATGTAAACCTTTTTGGCCTGTTAAAAAGAACCACCATAAATAATGTCAAAAAACCTTTTTAGCTAGATGATCCCAATAAACAAAAACCTACCTCAAAAATCTCAGTTGATCCTTCAGTTCCGGCACAGATGTGATATCATTTGAATGCGTGCTTATATTGCTACCTTCCAAAGTTGTTTGCAAATTATTCAAAGCCGCATCAATATCGTCTTCGATAGGTGAAGGGGATTTTCCATTAGTGTTGAACGATTGTTGCGGTTGTGTCGCTTGGAGGTTGATTTGCAACTGAAAATTAAATTTATTTGCATATATTTTAAAGTACAGCTAAGAGTAAATTGTAGATGGTGTTGAAGTGAAAAAACATTTTTATTTACAGGAACACGGAAATGTGGTTCATCTGACTCTTTATTATGAATTAAGCAACGACTCACATCAACTATTCAAAATTCCTACAAGGGAACAATTGGACTACAGCGCCACATGCAAATTACATTTTGTCATGCCTTTCAAATGCTTTTTCAATAAATAAAATATCTCTTTTGGATGCCAAGATATAGGGGTGGAGAATTGAACAACAAAATTTGGAGTTGAAGACAGTGCTGCTAAATGATTTTTTGCAGCGTTATATATTAGTATATAATTATTATAGTTATCTATAATAAAATAGATGTTGGTTTCGCCTATATCTGAAATGACTATCATTATTTACGAGCAAATTTGCAAAACTTCCTTTTGTTAAGCCTCCAAATCGTTTAATAGGTCACTAACCGTAACCAGCCCATATTGAATAATATTTTAGGTATCAATGTGTGGGAATTTATTCAGAGCCCATGTTGATCCCACCTAAACGCTTTTAATTAATCAACGTGTTTACGTTTTATTTAGTTACATCATTTTGTTGTTTGCTTTGAATTAAAATTCCGAAAAACTTCTTTCAATAATTTCAATGCCATTGGAATGCCACTATTATTTTGAAATGTTTCTTTTTCTTCAGAATAAACTTTTTTGTTTCGATGAGTTTCGTATTTTATTTTTTATTGGCAAAAAATAATTTCTTTTACTTTTTTTCTGGAAAATCGTTCCTTCTTAACGGCAATGAATATAAATTGTTTTTTATGGTTAAAAGTTCGTGCTATTCACAAAAATATATTAATCACGCAGCACCGAGGTGTAAAACTGTAACCAGGACCGATAATATTTGAGAAGGTCCTTAGTAGTATCAATCATATTACATTTTTACTAAATCTTTTCGGGCCCATATCTCCCGATGAAAAGTCGTAAGAAAAAAAAACGTATCACGCCATATTTTAGATTTTTTGTTTTCTACATAAATTACGCAAAACAAAACTTTAATTTGAAATGGTGATCAAGAAATTATAATAACTAGCTTGGTTTTCAGAGCAAAGTGCTACAAATTACAAAAGATATATAAGCATTAAATCTCGTGCCCAAACTTACCTGCAGAGCCGCAAACATAAGCATTTCTTCCTCCGTACATTCAATTTCCTCATTCAAAAGTTGCCACTTGGCCTGCTCATATATTTGATTTATTCGAATGGCATCATATTTAGGGTTAAGGTCGTAAAACACATAAAATTTGAACCTCAAACAAAGTGTGTCGTGTTCCCGGATTCCTTGTTCCATTATGGAAAGTGATGAATCCAACCACCTATAAAATGCAAAAAAATACCTCAAATTAAAACAAAATCTAAAGTTGTAATAAAAATAATTCTGAAAATTTTAGTTGATCGCAGTGAACACAGATACTTTCTACATCGACGATTTGGTCACATCACACTGATGCGAAAAACACGTGGAATATAGTGATCTGCTAGGAGAAATTGGACACGGAGCAGATAAAAAACAGCTGACAGCTATTTCTTTTTGGTTATAGTGTATTTTCTACTCTCTCACTTGAAAACTCACGCTGTACATTTACTGAGTGATATGTGATCAGAACTGACATAGATATATCTTATTGACATTCCATTTGCAAAATTGCTCAAATATTGTTGCGTTGTTTTACAGAGGGGATAAGAAGTTGGTACTTCGCAATGTTGATATAATGATTGTTATAAATGGTTTGTTTTCGAATATAAATCGAAATAAAAAATAAAATTCTACAATATACAAGTTTACAATGTGTTTTTGATGGGCATTTTTCATCAACGGTGGGTAACGCAATGTTTTAGCAGATGTTTCAACAAAATTTCACTTCCTAGTTTTTTTTAACCTTTTATTCAAGAATAACTGGTTTGACGCTTCTGAACAATCCGTTCATATGACGTCATAAGTAATTTTTTGATGTCTACTCAAGTGTATGCAGCTAAGATCGCCAGAGGCCGCCTACGATGCGACTATATAATCTATGCAAAAACTGTTATAAACCTCCTAAAAATAAGGTTCCAAATTGGCGTTATCCAAAAATGGTGCTTTATATTGTTTCTCATCGCTATACTTACGCAATATTCATTCTCGCCTTTTCTAAAAGTGATTTTGGTTTTATTAAATGTTTCCTCGCCTCGGGGCTTGGTGCGGGTGGGCTTTGGGCTAAACTGCTGTCGAATGAGCCATTAAGCTGTTCCGTACTTAAACTGCTTGTTAAATTTGGAGAGTATGTCGCTGTGCCATTTAAATCTGCGCCGAAACCATTTCGCTTCCACGAATTCGTCTAGTATCAAAATTAACAATAAAATAATCAACGAACTTTGGACGAAAAAAAAAATAGGTATACCTACATTTCCAACTGGACTGTTGACTGGTGTGGATGACGGGGGTATCCGTGAAGGAGTTACCGGAGCGCACAAAAAAGGAGAATTGTTCTCTAGACTTCCTGTACTGCCAACTGGACTACTGTTAGCTAAAACATTATTTAATTTTGCTTACTTTACTATTAAACATAGAATAACATACGCGTTTGTGCACCATAAAGAAAATAAATTGTAACAATAATTTGTGTAATTAAATTAGCAAAAGTCCCAAAGTTTCCCATTCCAAGAACTCTGAAAAACATTGATGATTTTTTTGTAGGTGACGTGTGATGAAATATAAAACAGTTTGCGAGAGAGGGTGCTCATGTAGGTTTAAGATTACTTATCTAAGTGTGACAATTATTATGAACTTTCTTGCATAAAATATTTTTGAAATTTTCATAAAAAGCCTAGTAAAATTAGTAAAAGACATACATGGGGTTCTATTAAAAAAGGCACACAACTGATCACGCCACCAGATCACAAAAAAGCAGCTTTGGGCCACCAACCATCAAAAATAGGATTCACTCTACAGCAAGTTTAACTAGAGAAATATATTGAACTTTTGTTAGCAAACGTTGAGAAAACAAAATTAGTGACTTAAATGCCAAAAAACTAACAATTTACCATCCAAGTTTTACCGCCACAACTATTTTGTAATCTATCCTATTGTAAATGTAAAAAAAAATCATTTAATTCTCTATAAAAAGCATTTTAACAAGAATAATAATTATAATAAATGTCTTTATATATATATATATATATATATATATATATATATATATATATATATATATATATATATATATATATATATATATATATATATATATATATATATATATATATATATATATTAAATTGCATACAAATCTCAAACAAGAATTTTGCAGTGAGTTTTTTCCCTCTGGAGCATAGCAGGCCAGTAAACTGTGATACAATAATTAGTATGCAAAATTTTAATTTTATATTTATATCTAGCACATCTTTATGTATATATTAAAAGTTCCAGTTCATAAAAACACTTTTTCAGAATATCAGCTACATGCCTTAAAAACTGTAGATCATAATAAATGCTTAACCTTAAATTTTCACCCACTTTAAAGTTATTTACAAAACGCTGGGGACTTTTAGTATATTGCTAATAAAGGTTAAAAATGTTCTCCTCGCAGTTGTCTAGTCCTGTGCGAAATCTGAAAAGCGCATATTGAGAGAGCGCAGACAAAATTTGATTTAACAAGAAATTTTCTTTATTTTATTGTTCGAGATTATACGGTGCTTAATGGATACCTAAAAATAACTATTACACATAATTCCGTCAGTGGACGATCTATTCTTAAACGAATACTTATTTAATGGCATTGCATGCTGAACGAAATTACATTAAACTCGCGAACATTGTTTTGCCATTATACTTGCCTATAAAAGTGTTTGTATCGGGAGCTACGTGTCCGTTTCTGGAGGTTCCGTTCTGGTCGTATTTTTTCTTTGGCATATCTTTGTAATTGTATTTAAGATGATTGGACTCGAGGGGTTTGCAAAAGGACAATTCTTCCGGATGTCTGATACCTAATTCTTTGCAAACGTGGGCCACCGCCGAAAATGTTTTGATTGAAAAGTCGACTCTCATGTCTAAATACCTGAAAAACATACGAAGACATGGTGTACAACGTTCCATGTCCATATAAACGTATCTATTAAAATTCTGTTCTAAGTTTTGCTAATTTTAGCATGGCGTGAGAAAACTGAAATGATTCATATTTGTTATATGACAATATAAAAATTTGTAAATCTATGTAAATACATGACTCAATGTTTGAAAAAAATTACCAAAGTCTTGTCAAAGTTTACGTTTCGATACTATTATCAAATTTTGAAAGTGATCTTTGGACAATATATTACATAAAAAAATGTTTTTTAATGATTAAAAGACGTGTAGCGAATTTGATTGAAAAATTAGAGTAATTAATATTGTGATCAGCAAACATTTTTCTCTTAAAACACTCTGTACCTATCTCGAACACCAAGCACATTAAAAGATGCATGTTTATAAAAAATGATTTCCCATCAACTAAATGTCGACACTATTAGTTGAATAATTGGTAAGTTTCTTATATAAGTTCTACGTCCAATTTTCTTTCCATTAAGCAATTTCCATTGTCAGAAATAGGGAAATGAATAGGTCTATAGTTCAGTCGATGTAAACAATAAAACCCGTGCAACGGAGGCATTCAACCAATAAATTATATGTCCTGAATTTACGAATGGAACTTTTTAAATAAAATAATTTGAGGTAAGTATATTAATATAATAGGCATTTTGAAAGAACAATGAGTGAAATTTGGGACAAACTTAGTAGTCATTACAGATAGTTTCCCGTCAATAATGACTATAATGACCGCAAAAGAAATAAATTCTGTCGCCAAAAATTGTATCTTATTAACGCACAAATGTTTTCAAATTGTTCGTTCTGGAATCATGCCCCGCCATCATAATTTCTTAATTTTAAATGCATTAACAATAATTTAAAAACACATTTGTATTAATTTCGAAGATTTAACCAAATCCATTTAAAATTTAATACCAATCTAATAGTTACATAATTATAACATTCCGATAAATTCGTCCCCTAATAATAAGCTGGAGTACATTTAAGATATCCGATTTTTCACAACAACTAAAAACCGCAGATTTTTTTACCAAAAATTGCTGCACAAATCAAATGTCAAAAAAGGCAAATTAAAATTAAATTCTGATCTGTATGTAAGTTCGGAATACTTTACAAACTAACAAAAAGTTCTTTGCTATGTTGATTTTATTTAAATATTATATAAACTACTACTACTTGTAATAGTAAGGTGATCATTTTACTACTGAATGATGTTACGCTCACTTACCTCAGATCAGGCAATTGCACCCGAAGATTTTTGTGCATGGGTGTGAAGTATAACAAAGCATCTGCATGAACCCCACATTGATCTAAAGTGGACCTCGTCCTTGTAAGCCAAATATTTTGTTCGGGCCACCATAGTGCGTGATCAGACCAGTCCATAGATATTTCTGAAATCAAGAAAACATTTTACTTTACTGTTAAGCCATTAAAGCTTTCGACACTCAAAAAATTCAATACTCATGCTGATTCGCACTCAAGTATCCTTAAAGAACTTGAAAGGTATCTACAGTTTGATGATTCTACAGCGTACCTTCCAGCTTTTGTGACCAAAGACTACTTTTTCATGGAATAAAAGAAACATTTTTATATAAAGGGTGATTTTCAAAATTTTTAGATACCCTTTCTGATTCGACTAACTTATCGGAAAGGTGGAGGAAACGTAAAATCTGTAGAGTAGTCAGTTTTTTTTCAAAATTTGTGTATATAAACCACACTTGCGTTTTTTTTTAAATAAGAACACTCTGTATATCTTTTAATCTTTTGGTTTTTTATTACTTTTCTTATGAACTTTACAAAAAAATGTAATACATAAGAGACATTTTAACTACAAAGTATAAAATGGGCCATGGAAAATGGGTATTTGTTTCTATAATATACTCTAGTTGTCAAACACACACAAGTTTATCTTGCAAGCAACTAAGTTTTTGTAATAACCTATGTGATTTATGCAATTGTATCTAAAACACACTGTACAATAGGAGAAAATTGCATTCATTATTTCACAATTTTTTAAATTTATGTAACATTACTTGTCAAACTGACGTTCATATTTTAAAACAAAAACAATGTTTCGCAGTCCTTTTAATATATTTCAATATATTAATTCAATTTCATATACGTTAATGCCTTATGATTTTTATATAACTGATAGGTCTAACGCATTTTTCAAATTTACTAAAAAGTTATCTGCTGGAAGCCAATGACTTCTTTCTAAAAGGAAATATAATAGAGAGAGATATTAAATAACCAAAGTCTATTTTTGCTTTTGCACCGTATTCTCCGCTCTCCTCTCCTTATACACATGTTATTTCCTCTTCAGCTTGTTTTTCATTCACCTATTCATAATTGTACATTAATTACAATAATTAAATAATTAATCGTAAAAGTTTGGGCATTCATATTACTTATATAAAACATACTGCAAAAAAGAATATGATCAAAATGATTTATTCACGTGTTAAAAGCCATAATTCATGGGGTTTATGTAAATCAAATCAAATCACTGTGGATGAGATGGCAATCAAAATATAAAAGATGATCCTTGGCAGTAATTTTAATTTAATATCATACATTAAAACCCAGCTTTAATACCTTTATGAAAACCTGTATAGTATTGACCTATTTTAAAAATAATTTCCATCCTCATATCCAAAAGTGAAACTCTTTGCATGAAACTGATGTGGATCGAATAAGCACATCGATTTTTTTATAGTTATCTAATACACATTTTACTAACAATTCTGGTTAGACAGGTTAAAAATAATTACCTTTTATTGAGTAATTATGGCACATTCGTAAAAACCGATTTAAAAAAAAACATTCTAGTGGGCTTTGACTATCTATCAACAGTTATTATAATAATTCCAGTACTGAGTACATTAGACGCTTTAATGAAAACCCGTTTTTTACTTACTATTTTAAAATATCCTAAATGCTTAATATCAACACCGATATTGGCACAAAGCACATAAAAGAAATATATTTAATCCCGGGTGCAACATGTCGGCTGGGAACGCAGTAAAAGTTTTTAAGTGCCGCCGCACTAGAGGAAATCCGGCGGTTACTTTTTTGGGCGTAATTGTATGCGAAACAAAATCCGGTATTCAACGTCATTCGGTATTATTAAACATTGATACTTCATCCAAATTCAACGCTGTATTTTTTCTATAAACCAATTTTTAATTTTTAGAGTATTAAGAGATGACGTCAAAGTGTAGAAACCAATTGGTGAACATTTTTCAGCGTTAAAGGTTATAAACCAAATCACTCCTAATAGCCCATCTAAACAATCTTTTTTCGGTAAAGCATACAGAAGCGACAGAATAAACAAATCCGGAAGGTTATTGTTGCCCGATTTATAAGAAAAATAAACCTTACCGCGTGCCTTTATAATTAACGTTTTGCTTTGAAAACGACAGCATTCGACCGTATACTTATAAGATTAAAAAAACGAAAGTAAACGATCCCAACTTTAGAGGAATCCGATAGGTAAACTGGAGTTCATTACAACTTTAGAGGAATCCGATAGGTAAACTGGAGTTCATTACCTCTACTAAAAATATAGGTGCTTATTTTTCAGCAGTTAGTTGTTCCCGTGGGCTTGAAAATATATATTTTAGAAATGTAGAAAAAACAGGTTATTTTTTAGTAACGTGTGTGTTATATGAAATTAAAACTGAAACTTTCGTTGCACTGTATAGCTCCTTAAAATTAATGATTCCGAAGTAACACAAAAACTGCCTAAACTTTAATCTTTTAAAATAGAGCATTCTATATAGTACTTACAATTTTAAAATGATTAATGTTTCTTTACAATGTAGAGTACCTAGTACAATCCTAAAAATAACATGTGTCATGTAGTTTAACACTCCTAAATCATGAATTGTGGCATTCCGATGTAAGCTTGGGGCTATGACAATCGCCTTAAATTGCGAACAATTTTCAATGCTGACTCATTTTGTGATATACTAATAAAAAGATTTATGAAAATTACGTTTGATGAATGCATGGAAACAGTAATTGAACAATTATTAATTTTAAACAACATGCCATTCCTAAGCAAAACTAATAAAAAATATGTCAAAATAATGTGATTTTTAGGAATTATGGCGATTATTTCAAAAATCGCACGAATTAGGTATACCATTAATATTTTCAAGAAAGTTTATCTTTCCATTTGAACAAATAAATTTTTGACTGTTTATGGGAGTCATATCGGGATCATTAATTTTGAAACAAGAGTTTGGAAAAAACCGGCAACTGCAACCGCAATTTCAGCTTTCTATAGCTCAAATGGCGGCTAAATTAAAGTTTAAGTGAGAAAAAATGTTGCGAAAGTCACCCTAAGTAGATATAGGAAAGTATTAAGCAAAAATAGTCAAAAGAAGGCAGTGAATGTAAAAATATGGTAATAGTATATTATGCAACAAGTGTAGTACACGGCATTGGAGTCACGAGTTTATTAAGCACTCGCTCCGCTCGTGCCAAATAAACTCATGACTTTAAAAGTTTACCAAACGTGTTGCAATACTATACTTTTTCTACGACCGTTAGTTTTTGCGCACATCTTTGCAAAACAACACGAATAGATTCATTCACTGAGATAGCCATCAGAAGACTCGGGTGACTTTTATATTTGCATTTTTGCATTTCACTTCCTACCTACAAGATTTAACGAGATCTAGCCATAAATTGAAAAAATGCTGCTCTAAAAATGCCGAATCCATTGACGATCAGTCATCGGCCATGTTGGAGAATGAATGCCGCAAGGTTATTGGCAAAGAGCATAAGATAGAGGGGAAAGTCGCTTATACTGTTACGAATGCCATCTATTATTTGTGTCCAAGTACTAAAGTACTGTCATGGCGGTCACACTGAAAATACTACAGTAGCTTGTAACGGATAACAGCACTTTATTTATATTTTAATAAAACAAATAAAACTATTTCGACATTTTTTTTTCACATTTTACCTTTCAAACTTTAAATTGAACTGAACCGTACGGCCAGTGCGTTTTTTAACATTGTCATTAATGTGAGCCTTCCCCTCTATCTTATACTCTTTGTCTTTACCGAGAATATTTTTAATTGCAAGAGAACCTGTGGTCTTTCTCAGTCTCCGTATTGTTGTGGATTTATGAATACACGGATGTATTAAACTAAAATAACTTTATTAATAATGAATACACTTATTTTAAATTAACACTCTCTCTCGTTAGGTTAGGTTCTATTCTACACCGTTTCCTCTTCTCTTCTTGCAGTGGATTAATGACAGGTAATCACAACACGTATTGCATTATTACGATTTGACGGTGTCTGGTTTTTTGTAGGTATGTTGGATGTTCATTGGTGGTGTGGCAGAGGCCATTAATTTTTCTCCGTTGTATATTTTTTTATAGTAGCGAAAATATCTTTTTCTTCCTCGCTCACGATGGAAAATAAAGTTACCCAACTTTGACTGCGAGTTTTCGCCGTATTTAAACCAATAAAACTTCTTCATCATTAAAAAATATATATACTACATATATAGTTATTTTTTCTGTGCCGGGTAATCATTTATTACTTTACTTTACTTAACTTTTTTATTTAACGTTTGGGACAAAAACCATCAAGTTAATATACACAGGGTGTTCAAGAAATCACCAAAAGATAAAAGTTTAATTGAACACTCTGTATAGTATATGATTAACAAATTCCGCTAAAAATTCTGCACATTTCTTGTACAATATGTCCTATAAACAAATCCAATAGTTTTTACCATAAAAGCAACATTCAATGCGTCATACTGAAAATACTACAGTAGCTTGTAACGGATAGCAGCACTTTATTTATATTTTAATAAAACAAAAATTAAAACTATTTCGACATAATTTTTCTTTCGCATTTTATCTTTCAAACTTTAAATTGAATTGAACCGTACGTCCAGCGCATTTTCTGTTTTCATGACTGGACACAATCACTAGATGCGTTAAAACTCGTGTACATTTAACATTGCCACGAATGGGAGCCTTCCCCTCTATCTTATACTCTTTGGTTATTGGTTGAAAACGAGATTTCAAATCTCTAGCTTGCGCACGTTGAATGGACGTTCTCAAAACTTCTTTCATAGTAACATCATAAGTTTCTCTATTATCGGCATATTAACGATATTGCAAAATTTTCAAAAATAAATCTATTTTCGGTTTTCCGTAAAAGTCTAACCCACCATCGATCATCAATCACTCGGTATATGTACGATGTTCATTTGTAAATATTTTTTCGATTTTTCCCCGCAACAAATCAGTTAAATTTGGTAAGTAATAACAAAAAAAACATATGCCATTTACCTAAAATAACCCTAAACACGTGCAGCGAAAAAGAAAAAGAAGAACAACAAAATGAGTAACTGT